CTTTTTGGGGTTTTGGCTCTACAACTATTTTCAACAGTTTTACAGACATTACCGTTACAGTTTTTTGTAGAAAACCTCTAGTGATTTGTTTTGTGAGTACGCTTCATCTATGCTCAAGTCACCTGGTGCACAAATTAATGTGCAACGTATTGAAGTTGTACCTCGGTGCTGAAAGAGGCTTTATGGAGGTCGATGCAATCCAGCCAGCGTCGAAAGATTTCAAATGCCTCTGTCTCAGGCAAACACACACACACACACACACACACACACACACACACACATATACTTTCACCCTTGAGAAATTCCTGCACAGACAGCTGACGCTGCATGTCAATATTTTGCATGTTATGCAATTGTCCCGTTATCTTTGAGACTGTTTATTCGATTCATTACTTGCGGGATTTCAAAGGCTCTGTTTGCCGGAGCTGCTCACCTTGGAAGACCTCAGACGCTCCTCATTTCACAAGCTGCCGGCTCATGCTAAGCGGCACACAATGAGCTTTTTAACATTTGCTAACTAGCACTGAATACTAAGCACAGCTGAGGCTGATAGGAATGCCAACCGTTTTTTGCAGGTTTTGGTTCATAGAGCAACATATTGGAGACCTTCACTGATGAAATGATGATGGGCCTGGATTTAAAGTTAGAGGATGCAATTCATTGGAGGAGCGTGTAAAGGCCTAAACCAAATCTGGTTCTAACCACTCGGGATCTGATATTTTCATACGTTGTCAGTTTTGGAACCATATTGCTTAACGTTCTTATTTGTCAGCTCTCTTTTGACATCGTCCTCGTTGCCTTAACTTTATCCTCCTTTCTCCCGACCGAGACGACTCCTACTCAGATATGCAAGCCCTATTCTTTAGCAATTGTCTGTCCACTGAGACGTCTATTTTCACTGCTCTTCTCGGCCTGGCAGTGCTCAGAGGCTGCTGAAACCACACAGGATGGGAAGATTTCCACACAGAACCGCTGGAAATAGGACCTCCATACTACAGGCATGGCATTGTGCACTGAAGCCAGGAGGTTTTTATGTGGGCTGCATATGCAAATGTGGCCCAAACTGAAAACAATTTGTTTTAGCTAGTGGCCCTGCCGACTGCTATATATATATATATATATATATATATATATATATATATATATATATATATATATATATATATATCATGTATTCATACATACCTGTCAAACAGAAGGGGGGTGAGTGGCAAACGGACCACTTTAGGACTGATAGTGCCCGGAACATGTTGGTAGCTGCTAGGCTAAGCTAGCTGCTAGGCTACTTCCATGTCAACATCTACCCTGCAGAGGACAACCTCTGTGTCCCTGAAAGACGGTGGTTTGTAAAACGTCCTGGCTGAATGTGGGGAGATTGTTTGGCACTTCAAACACAGCCGTCAAATGGAGAGTTGAGAGCAAAGTGCACAACAGGAAGAGTCGCTAGTTTAACATGTTCTACTTGGTGGGATTCTGCCTCATGGACGATCACATGTGTGTAGTTTGGTGTTTTAAAGAAAATGCAATTAAACTAAAATACTCACTTTCTAAAGTGATTGCTCATTAATTTACACTTAAGATTCTCTGGACGTAAGACAGAGTTTTAATCGCGATTAATATGTTTCAAAATGTGAGATTAATTCTTATTTTTAATCTATTGACAGCCCAGATGTATAGCTGTAAGTATATGTATATATTTGTCTAAATCCCTGAAGGCAAGTGGGCAGACCTTAACAACAGACATGCTTGAGACATTTTGAGTTTCTAGTTGTGTGTCTTGGTGGGATTGGGCGCACTTTTTGCACTGAAGAGAAACAACACGTTTGCTATGCTAAGCCAGGCCTACCAACTCTCACGGTTTCGCCGTGTGACACACGCTTTTGCATGTTTTCACACGCACTCACGCCACACAACCAATTTCTCACGGCAAAAAAAAAAATCTGATTTTGGGCCGAAGCGCGTTCGTTCCTTTTCAAACTCCCCGACAATAGATGGCGCTAAGGAGCGCATCTGTAAACCCATTCGCTGCATAGACATCCTATTTACCCCAAAGAGTCCCGAAGTTAGCAACAGAAGAAGGTTTTCAAACAGACACAACCGCGGGAGAAACTCAGGAGGAGCAAAGACTAAGGTATGTTAATGACATGTGGTTCAATTAAGTACTCACTCTCTTAAACTTTAAATCTTGAAAGAAATTATTTGTTGTGTTTGTGCGTGTGATTTTGAGTGGTGAATGTAAACTCAGCTGTCATAACAAGCAGCACTGCTGCTAATCTAATCTTAAACACAGGTCTATTAATTAGGCTATATTGTGGTACATAGACAGTCATTGAGGCACATTAATAGTTTTCTGGTTGAATGTTCAGCTCAAGTCTAGAAGGCCCAACAAGTCATGAGCAGATGAACATAAATCAGAATAAGTTCAGGCATACCACCCAAAAATCCACGAGAATGCATGAAATAACATCTACTTAAACCAGAATGTCCTTGGGGTGAACCATCAGCTATGTCTTTGCTTCACAGAATGTAACCAATGTTGTCCATCTCCAGTAGGCCGCCGCTATCAACGACTTTGGGCCCCACAAACCACCAGAATGCAGGGTACAACATGGGTACTACGCCAAATGAATTCCAATTTCCTGATATTTGAGCCACCAACGTGTGTGGCTGCGTGCGCGGCAAAATTTTGGTCACCCCCGACAAAATCTCACTCCAAGGTTTTTTGAAAAGTTGGCAGCTCTGGCTAAGCTAACCTAGCATCTAAGGAAAAAACGTTTCAAACAATCATTATCTGGCTTTAACCCATTGCTAATTCACACCACTCAACAATTCACTGAAGAGCCCTTTTGCAGCAGGTGTGCAGTACTGATATGGGTTTCATTAGTAAAGGTAAAATGCATACACATTTCCACATTTCTAAAAAGCTTGTTTTGTGCATTTGCTCCACCATCCCGGAAGCTGCTACCCGACTGAACTAAGACCTAGTAGCCCAGATGCAGTTTCTAAATTGTTGATACCTTTTGCATATGTGCATGAGGTGATGAGTTCAAAGCGAATATGGATTGTGAGCAGCCCATTGTCCATCTGCTTCCCCTCTAACAGGAAAACGTGGTTTCCTCGTGGAAGAATGGTGCGTCTGTGCCGGTGGAGGAACCTCACATCGCTCTGCGATCTTGTGGACACACACCGGTCCATAGATCACAGTCTGTGTCAAGTCCATCGATCATCTAGCTCCTGCCAACCGCAGCTCTGCAATACCCAAAGCCAGTTAATCAGCCCGGACCGCTGAATCCTGGCCCACTCCTCTAAATTCAGACATAAAGCACCAACCGACAGGCTATCAGCATGTGACCTTGAGCCTGTGTGAACATGAACACCATGAAGCCAGCCGGAGCACTGATAAGATACTACATGTTAACGTACAACATGCTGCGTGCCGGGCGTGGCGCTGGATGTTATGGAAGACGTTGATTTTTTAGTGCCAGTAATTGCTCCTTGCCATGGCGACCACTAAAGAATGACACTGCAGCCGTTGATACCTCCATGTATTAAGCAGCAGAGGACAAAAAACGACAAGACTTTTTGTACAAATGCACTTGAGGCCATCTATACTTCCCAAACGCAGAGAGAGGAAACATTTCAAGCGAGGATGATACATTTTGCATGTTAACTTATATGACTCTCATATTCTTCCATCCATTCGATCCATTCAATTGTTTCTTTAGAAAAGGACTTGTAGGAAAGCTTCTTTTGATTGTTAACTGTCATTGAATGCTGTCACTGAGACCTCAGACAGGTGGACACCCCTCACGAGTATATTTCAGTTAGCACAGATGTTAATAGCCTCAAATGTACAATAGCCTAATACATTTGACACCCAATTTTTTAATTATTATTATTTTAACTTACTGCGCGCAGTACATGCTAATCTTTGAAGAGATGTACTGGGCAACTTCCAGTGTAAATGTCAGACAATTAGCGTGCACTGCTAACAAAATCATTTTACATACACTCAATAGCTGCAATCTGTGTAACGCGTAAAGAGCACAACTCTTTGTGCGCGCTTGTTTTGTGTGGAAGCTCTAACCAGGTGCGGGCTGCACAGTACGTCTTTTTGAGCTGCCAGTGGGCCGGATCACATGGGATGAATTAGCTGTCACTTCCCCACCTCCCTGCATGCTGTGCTCTCAATAGTCCCTCTCCCTAAAGTTATGCACACGCACACACAGATGTTTACCACTTGCAGACTGTACATCATTACCGATGTGCAGGCTCCAGGCGAGGCCTCTGAACCAGAGCCCATAACTAGTTGCATCAGTTGCAGCCTTTCTTATCTAAGGTGAGTCAGCAACTTCTTTTCATTTGCACCTTTAGGTGCAGAGTAATTGTCCTTGACTGTAGTATTTGGACTCTAGAGGAAGAATAAACAGACGGTAATATTTATTAATACTCATTAATATTATTTTATTATTTTCAGGAGTGTACGGATGTCTGATAGAGAAGGTTTGTACGGTAACCAAGTACTCAAAGCACCCTGGTGTGAATAGCGTACTAAATAAACAAATCAGAACCTAAATGACTGAAATGGAATCATTTTTGAATGGATAGTAATTTCTCATTCCTCCTCTTCCTGATATTAATCTTTAATTTCCAAGACACAAGTGTAACTATCTGTTTGTGTTACATTGTGCAGCGACTAAACCTCGCTTACAGTTTTAAAGGTGGAATAAAAAATTGTTCTTAAAAGACATGACATATTAAGAATAGTGCAATTGTAACAATTTCTGTGAACACTGAAACGTGTGTTTACAGTGCTTCGTTAATTCCATCTGGAGCAAACACATCCTCATATATTTTGTACTAAACAGGCGTGAATGGATGAGGGCTTCAACCTCAAAAATCATGCGACTCACTGTCAATGCAGATCTCATCAGACAACATAGACGTGTGTTTTTTTATTTTCATTTTTATTTGTAAATTAATCTTTGATAGAACAAAGAAAAAATATATAATATATTTATTTGTACTGAAACGGTAAGTTATGTACACATTTAGAGTTTAGACTAGAAATCTTCACAAGCACTGATCCATGATGTGGTATCAGAGTCGTCTCTCTGGGTTTCCTGGATGCCACAATGTACACTGCTGAATATTTACATACATTCATAGGATGCGATAGAACACCTGTGTTCAAACAAGCATTCAAAATTCAAAAATTGAATGAAAGGAATGATGCGCAACGTTGTGTAGCCCCCGGCCGGCCTCTTGCATGAATACATGCGTGAATTACACGTGGACAGCATTGTCATGACATAGCAATAGCTATCCGCGTTCCAGAGCGAGTCCAAGGCGTGCCGCCAGGAGGAATGACATGACTTCATTTCCCAGAAGCACACTGTCCGGGTTGTTCAGCACCACAGCGCGTCCATTGACGTCGCCTTAAAGTGACGGCCGGCTGAGGTCAAAGGCCGTCGGGGTGTCTCAGTAACAAATGAAGCAGAGATGAGGCAGATTCGTGTCGTCGGCAAAAGAATAGTCAGAGTGATTGTAGCAGACTGACACATTCAGGCTGTGCACCAAGCTACACGGGTCATTTATACGCTCAATTAAAATATGGATCACTGGAAAGTCTGCTTTCCCAAACGGTTTGGCTCTCCAGTAAGGACTTTGCGGTAGAGTAAGGCCAGAGAAGAGATACAGGTAGAAGAGCAGCGTGGAGACACGCGTGACTTCATGAAACAAACGTAACGACGATCACATAACACTGATCCCAACATTCATTCCTCGTGTCACATCAGCTTTACAAAGTTTTTGTAACATCGCTGTGTGACTCTGCTGTGAGGGACACGCCGGTATAGAACGAGGTTGGATGGAGCTTTGAAGGGGGGGGTTGCTGGTTTTAGGACCAGATTTGAGTTTCACGATTTATTCACAAACCCTTTTCTAAGGGTCAAATATTTGTAAAACCCATAAACACATTTAACCGGTGAGAATAGAAATCATGTATGAAAAATACAAAATCCAAATGATGAAATCTGGAGATAAGAGCTTTCAGTGCCGAACCAGTTTAGACTTTGGCGAGATCCCACGGGTCTTGTCATGTAAATCAAAGTTTAAATGTATTCAAGTCTACTGTCAATGAAAAACGATACTGGTACTGATACTGATACTGATAACGACAATCCCAATGAACTTCCCTTGACTTCCTAAACATTGCGTGAGAGGAGGAACGTCCAAGACGTTGTCAGGTTCCAGGAAGATAAAAGGCAGTTGCTTTGATCCATGTCGCGTGTGCTGTTACCAAAGATATCAAATAATCCCAACAGGATGAAAAAAAAGGCACCAGCAGCACCAAAAACCTTCAGCTGGACTCTGACAGGACGGCAACCGGGCTGGTTTACTTTTTGGACAATAAATTATGATAAAACAAACTGCTGAAACAAAAAGCCGGGCCGGCTTCCACGCTCGCAATCGAGCGGACTTGCAGATATCTGCGATGACAAATCGCAGCGTTCCCCGCAGCGTCAGTTCGCCGTGCGGACCGTCCTGCTGTTCCGGGGGAAGCGGTGGACTTTGACGTGCTTCGACAGGTGGTCGCTGCGGGCGAACCTCTTCTCACACACCAGGCACTGGTAGGGCTTCACTCCCGAGTGGGAGCGCCGGTGTCGGGACAGCTCGTCGGACCGGGAAAACCTGAGAGGAGAAGAGGAAGGAGTGTTTTAGTCAGTGACACGGGTGATGACCTCAGACATAACTTGGCCACATGCATTTTGAATTTGACTTTTGAAACAATGTGTGACTTTACAGCCAGTAGCAAGAGGGAAAATTGAGCTGCTAAAACGTCTCTTGCTCTGCTGCAGTTGGCACATTTAAAAGCAGTTTCTAAATACGAGCTGTATTTTGATACTTTCACTGGGTTGAAATAGAAGCTCCGGCTGCTTTAAACTAAAAAGAAAGATGGAAATCTCAGTTTCTACAGTATTGGATCGTTCAAGCACTCAATCATTCACCTTGAGCGAATACTTGCTTGTGACTTCCAAACCAATGACTTTCTCCCACCCTCTTGAGAAAGTGATCGATCCCTTTGTGTTCTTCTTGCCTTAAGCGCGTGATTTTATCTGCCACCCTAGTGCTATTATTTTCTATTTAGCTCTGGTAACTGTCGGTGCTTTGCGCTGTGAACACAAGTCAGAGCACTGCGGAGCATTTAGCCGCCATGAGCGTGGATCCTCTGAACGGTGAAGCTACAACTCTTTCGCCTGTAACTCATTTGCAGCAGCGTGTGAGTCATGAGCTACTTGGCGACGGCAGCTCCGGGGTGCTTCTTCCCAGTAACCTCGTGAAACGGTCCGTTCCCCGCCAGGCTCTGCATTCCAGATGTTGCTGCGCAGATCTGACAAGATGATGAATCGACGCAATCACACCCTGCAATTATGCCGAACGCATAAGGGCCTGAACTAAAAGAAGGAAGTATCGCAACGTAGACGTGCTGAGAAGCCGAGGAGGGAAGGAATTGCTGCGGCGCTGACAAGACATGATTAAGATGCAACATCTGACAGTGGTTTACACAGGGAGACGGCGCCGATAACACCTGAGGCAAAGATACACCTTGATTAAGTGTATAGAGGCACTTTGCTGGAGGAATCAAAAGGCTGAATGCCCGGAGAGAGAACATGCAAACTCAAACGCAGGACCTTGTTGCTGTGCGGCCAAAGTGTCTCTCTTAGTGTGTGGACACATTAGTCCCCCGGGAGTCACCAGCTTCATACCTCTGACAATTAGCAAGAAAGGGTTGAGCCTCCGTGAACGGGCTCCAACGTTTCACTTTAAGACAAAAATATGAACCCGACCACCCAGTGTGCTGGACATCTACGTGAATACGGCTCCAGGCTAACGATGAGGTGCTCATTGCATCCCCTTGTTTTATAGCTCACCACTGCTAATTGTAATGTTATGAAATGGCCTTTTTCATCTGCTAACTTAAAATGAGTCGTTTTAATCTGTGAATATATCAGGTTTTACTGCTTAAACGGTGCCACCCAGTCCCTCCGAGTCCATGTGAGGGAACCTTGACCGATCCGTCTCTGTCCTTTCATGCAGGCGGGCAGCCGGGACGTTCCCGGCCCACCGTCATGGTAACTATTCAGCACTTTGTCTTTGTCGCTCCACTCTCTCACTGCTGCTCCCCTTCAAGTGATCGTGTGCAAAAGCCTCTCCAACGCCCCCAATCCCCCCACAAACGCCACCGTCGTACCTTTTCTCCCGTCTTTTCTTCAAAACAGATCTCAGTTACATTCTGCTTCTCGGCCATTCGCTTCTTTCCTTCACAACTTTCCCTACTTTTTTTTTTCTCCTTTGGTCGGCCCTCTCATTTACCCAAACACACACACACACAGGTTTTAATACACACTTCCATCCAAACTACATCCTGCCCCTTTGTGCACAGACAAGAGCCCTTTGTTTGGGGGAACGCACAGACTGGATTACAACTGCACACATTTCTGTGCCTCCCCTCGTTTGTTAGGACGCTCCCTGCATCACAAGTACAGTGCACGAGTGGTGGCGGGTGGCCAGGTCGGTACAAAAGTCCAATTGACCAACAGAAAACTTTTACATTATTGGTATAAGGTATATTAAGGTATATTATTGATCACTCAGTAGATGCATACAAACTGGAGTCCACCAATGAGTGGATGGTTAAAGGAGGAGGACCTTTCAAGACTAATCTCTGCAAGCTGTGGCAGCTGGAGCCCGAATTACACAACGGCAAGCTGGCTGTGGTTTGACTTATGTGTCACGCAGGTATACGCAGGCATTCCATTTGGATAGACGCACACGTAGAGCACGTGAAAAACACAAACCATGTCAGTAGATCCTACCGAGGGGCGGGTCTTAGGGCTCTGTGTGTGTCTGTGTGTGTGTGTGTGTGTGTGTGTGGAGCGTTTAGACCAGTGTTCGTCCAATGGTCCGGTGCCAGGTGTCATATTTCACCTCATTCATTCTGAATTTAACTGGAATTTCCCTTGACATCGGAAATAACTTCCACTACCGATCCAGTCGTGTGAAAAAAACGTGTCTCTGGTCCAAATATCGGGTTTCACTGCAGAATGCAGCACTGACACGCGGTTAACGTGTTTGCTGGGTTCAAGGGGCAAAACTACTTGGTGGAGTTTAGAAAAAACATCATATTTTTTTGTTAAGCCTCCTATGTGACAACGCAACGTAACTGTGGCAACGCGCCCCGCCAACACAACAACGCAACGCATCGACGTGACTTAACACACTGTGAGAGTGATGATATAAAAAGGCCCTTTCTCTAATGAGCAGTGAAACTGCCTTACTGATGAAGACATCCAAGTTATCTTTGTGCCTTTCTCCATTACACACAGCAGGCTCCGAAAAAAGATATGGCCGCATCATACTTAGCATACACAAATACACGCGCACACTCACACTGCCCCAGCAACCGCACAGCTGTCAAGACGCAACAGGAGGCGCCCATGTTGCGCTCATGTGACTGCAGCCCACATGCTCCGTCCCAGATTTAGTTTGCCTCCTCAAAACAAGGACGCACAGCTATTCTTGCACAGATCTGCCCGACGAGAAGTGTGATTTTGCAACCGTTGCTATTGTCGCCGCGCCACATCATTCCAAATAACGCTCGGGAGGCTGCATGAAAGCCGTTAAGATCTATTCAGCTCCAGAGCTCGGAGATAATAAACGTCGATCTTCAATTACAGAACCGAGAATAACTGTCTCATTGCTTCAGCATGTGGCTTCAATGGTGATGAACCCTATTACTAATCATGACATTCGTGTGGTTGTTGACATTCATCTAATGTTTAGTTGTTTGGAACTTTGATAGCGTGTGTGTGTGTCGTGTGTGTGCGGGTGTGAGGGTGGAAGGATTTAGCTCTCAAGACGCTTTAAGTCCCCTCATCAGTGCTACTAGATGACCCACTGAAAGAGGTCAGTTCAAGTGTCAGTTTAAATCTGCACCACACTTGGTTCCATGGAGCAACATGACACTATGCAAAGCACAGACGTGCCCCACTGACATATAATTACTGCTGCTTCCACAAAGCCCATGTGAACAAATGGGGGATAAGCCCTTTTTAAATCATACAGGCGCATGCTATTGCTCATTCCTGCAAATAAACAAACATTTTAAACAGTCATAGCCAAGAATCGAATCTGGTAAGATAACGTAAGGTGTCCCTATTTTGACCGGGCAGAGACCATTGCGTCAATGAGGCGAATGTTTGACTTTGTCCCTCAGTGGCTTGTATGTTCAAATGTAACAAAAGGTATATTATTTCAGTCGATCAAAAACAATACCCACCTCCATCCACAGCCTTGCCAGTTGCAGGCAAAAGGCTTTTCCCCCGTGTGCCTCCTCAGGTGAGCTTTCAGGTGGCTACTCTTGGTGTACATTTTGGTGCAGCCAGGGAAAGTGCATTTGTGCATTTTGATAAGATCTGCCACCGGGTTCTTCTGGAACTTTTGACCTCCAATGAGTATCCCTGAGCCCTGGCCGGCTGAGCTATCCCCCAGTGGTTTGGCCGCAATGGGGACTGGAGCAATGCGTACAAACTTGGAGGAGACGTTAAGGCTAGTGGAGGGCAGGATGTGGGGCACCAGGGCAAAAGTCTGACCATGGATGTTGACCAGTAGCTGTGCAATTTTGATGTCTGAGGCTGGGGTGGACGGTGGGGGCTGTACAACTGGGGTAACAGGTGCTACCGTGGGCTCCTGCTTGATGTGAAGGGGCTGAATCTGTACGACAACGGGCATCCCGCTATCGTTTGGGACGCTGTCTTCTGACGAAGTTCTGTTGTCCGTTGACTTCCTGGCTGCTGTGCTGGATTCATGGGTGGGGTTAACTGATGTAGTCTTGGTCTCACTGGAGGCAGCAGTGGCCAGGCCAGCACTGCTGGAGGTGGGCACAGTTTGGTCTGAATACTTGGCCTCTGGCTCTGCCTTAGGCTCAGAGGAGGCATCCCTGCACCACTCCAGGTCAACTTCTAGACCAAGAGCCTTGTCCAGTCCAACTCCAACTCCCGGACAACTCTCTCGGATTTCCTGCTTCATTGTTACCACCTCCATGTTTTCCTCTAGGAACTCTTCGATCTCTTCCAGTGTGGGCTGGAAGGACCCTCCAAGTTGTTCCTCAGTCTCTACATTGGCCCAGGATAGAAAGTCAAAATGTTCCTCTTTCACAGGCTGGCGTTTGGGAAGCATGTCTCTCCGTGACTCCCGAAAGAAAGTAGATAATGGTATAGGTGCAACAGACCCCGCCAGCACACTGTTGGCACCCCCTAAAGAGGCCTGGGACAGCAGGTGATCCAGGATGCTGTCCTGGCTCTCGGCACTGGAGTTGCTACCGTAGCTGGAGCTGAGCACCTGGGAGTCGGGGCTGGAACAAGAACGAGGGCTGGATGACTCGCTCCGGTCGTCCTCCGAAAACGGTGACGGCATCACCTGGTAGGAGCTCAGGTCTGTCACCATGTCTGACAGCCGGTAGCCCAGCGACGAGACACTGTAAGGAAGAAAAGTCTCCTCACTAAATGGGGAGTTGTCCACCATCCTTGGACGGTGACGATCAACCAGCCGTCTGTGGTTGGGACGATTGGTCAGAAAATGATTCCCTCCACTGATGGGAAAGTAAGGCCAATTAAACCAAAGGCAAATTAGACCCCACAGAGGCCACACCTCCCAAATAGGGGAGATATCAAAACATCTGGTGTTTCTCTCTCAGAAAAAGTAGGCGTTGCGGAAACAGTCTTACAATCCAAGGTCTTCAGTCCGGATACAGTGTGTCTAATAGAAATAAACAGAGAGAGAGAGATGGTGTTAATCCCACATGTGCTTATTCTGCTCAAATTAAAAAAGGACAGTGCCTGTCTTTACAATAGTAGAGGGCAGGTGATTACATATGGACAGAAAAACGTGTCCTGCATCTGTCAACGTATATGACATGGTAGTTGCAGTCTCTTCATCCAAATCCTAAAAGGCTGCAGAGGAACGAGGGCCGCAGAGCCTTTTAGGCGTGCAAGTTGGTAGTTGAACTATTGACGGTCACTTGAGATCAGCCACATGACCATATCAGTGACACACAGCGGAAAAATAACTTAATATAAATCACGGTGTCATATCTCATGTTCCGACTTCATAAGAAGGCTGAGGTTATTTTCCTGGAGTGTTGGTCATTCTCAGTCCCCTCCCGCCTCTTTCCGTCCACCCATCGAGGGGCCCCTGCACAGTAAGAGTGACCGAGAGTAAACCCGGCCGGCAGGGGGGGGGGGGACTGTCCACATTATTGTCAGAAAACACCGCCCGGGGCAGTCGGGAGCTGTGGACCAAATCACCTTGTCTTCTTGTTTACGGGACAATTAAAGGGCACTAAATCCGTCACACCGCGGCCTCTGTGTGGTTAGAAGATGTCATTAGATACCTCGTTAAACGTGTGTTACTGTCGCCTCCTGCAGTGCACATTTGGATTCATTTCACATGTTTCTCGAGAGGAAATGACTGACTTTTATATTCCTGCACAGCCGAGGCCTCGTGTTTCTAACTACAGCTCAAAACAGAATGTTATAGTTTTTATGCACATAATGAATACCGTCACATCATTGGATCACAAACTTATAGAAACCAAACGCGCAGGAAACCAAAAGTAAATTCAACTCAATTGGATCCTGCCGAACCGAACCGCGCAGTACCACTCCGTCAGCGTCGCGCCGTGTTTTCGTCCCCCCCGCGGTGCGTAACGCACGAGTAGGCGCGCGTCAACGTCAACGTGTTTTCGTCCAGCCTGCCGCAACTCGTACAAGCGCGCGCGCGCGACCCTGAAACCCCACCGTTCCGAAAATGAAAAAAAAAAAAAAAAAAATGCACCGTCTCACCTTGTTCGATGAGGCGCGCGGCGTGATGTTTCCATCCGTTGCATCCGACGCGGCGGTCCGAATGCCAGAGCAGCTGGTGCCCGCGAGACTCGCCATGCAGCGCGGCAGCAGCGATCCGTCTGGGCTGGGAGCTGCCTGAGTTGTACTATATGACCGTCACATGACTCCCGGTGTGCGTTACAGCGTCGGCCTACTGTAGCGAGAGACGCGGCGCCGCTGCTGAGGGCTCGTCTCCGCTCTGCAGCCCCATTGGTCCGTTGCGGTGGCGAAGGGGGCGGGCCTTGCGCCGCGTCACTCACAGCTCCGCTGCGTAAACGTGTGGGACGCTTGTCGGTGGAGAGCGGCGGTTCTTTGCTTTCACGACCAGTAGCAGCCACGAGGGACTTAAAAACACTACTGTTGTTGTTTTTGAAATCGGAGGGTAAATATATGGATATATCTTTGACTTGAAAGTGTCCAAATAAAGAGCACGCAAAACTGAATTGACCGTAAGCAGCTCTCCTTAAATCAGTCAGACCAAAAATGTCATAGAAAAAATCCCACTCGGATCTTAAAGACTCTGTTTCGGGTCACAAAAACAGGGCTTTTTAAATGTATTTAACTCACCATAATTAGAAACTATGAGGTTATCATGCTGAACAAGAAGTTCTTAATAGTGGCACAATATTGTCTCCACAGAGTGCTGCAGAATTAGTCCTAAAGCCATGGATATATAGAAGAAGGGTCACTAGACTTGCTGAATTTAATTAAATTCCTAAAAGAAGGAATTTAAAGAAATTTAACTCAGAAGGCTATGAAATGTGTGCACAGGGGACTTCCTCGGGTCGGGGCCCCTCACACCAGTACAGGAAGTTATCTCTAAATGTCTTGACTTCTACAAGCCCAACAAGGGTCACCATGATGTAGGAACCCTTCCTTCTTATTTGTTACCGAAAACCTCAAAATGAAATTTTTGCACTTTGGATTTGTTTGTTTTTAAATGGGTTTTACTGAAATATACTGTATTATGATACAGTTATAGTACATATTCTATGATATTTTTTTTTAAATCAGTAAATACCCCTCCTGTGAAATATGAAGCTTTCAAACATCTTAGAGAAGCCGTATGCAAACAGGGGTTCAGGATGACTGAACGTCCTCACTACAACTTACTCATGTGGCTCAGTGGAGGTTACGTGAGGCATCGTGACCACGTCTACTTCCTTTACAGCCAAACATAAGCGTTTTAATTCTGCCGACATCATCAACTTCCAAAATGATAAAAGGGGTGTTTATTTGTGAAGGTTATCTTAGCGAACATGTGTATATACCCTAAATCTTTATTTTGATTATTCTCTGCAATAATCCAGAATCCAATGGAAAAAACCCAGTGGTCTTTTTTTGTGTCCCGTGTGGGGCTTCGACTTCCTCGTTGGGCCACACAAACACATCATCCCCGCGGCATTCTGCTGGAGAGCGAGATGTCTCGTACACTCGTGCTGCTGCCATGGGCCTTAAACGCTGGCCTCATTCCATTCGGTCCGCCAGATAGCTATCACACTCATCATTGAGCTAGATGGAAAAGGGCAAAGGTCACCAGAATACACAGGGGCCGGTTAAAGATCCCCATTCTAACAGGGGAGAGCTGGTGAACAGCCGCACAGCTTGAGGTCAGACGCACACATTCTACAAGCCAGTTTCCAATCGAAACCATTTACTGTGCAAATCAAAATTGCTTTTCTGTGAAAGGTCCGGACAGAAGGAGAGGATCTCTGTGTGAAAGTATCTGTGACAAAATCAACATTTTTAATAAAAAAGGTATTGACACAGACTTTTATTGCATGGGAAATAATTGCCTCCGGTGTGCAACAAAATATATAAGAAGACAAACTAACGTCAAAGGCGTATTTCAACTTTGGTGCTTGATGTAGAAAATAGCAAAGATGTAGACGAGTCAAGGGGACATCACCAATAACAATCAATCTAATCCCATCTGGGTAGACGGCACCTCCCGAGGAACATCGTGTGATATCAGAGTCCAGAGAGCAGTTACATGTGATGAATCGGATTTTTGTTGACGGCTGTTTCAAGGGGTCAGAAATCAACCTCGGTATGAATCTGTCTTCCCGCTGCTTCTGTCCCTGCGCGGCCACAACGCAACATCAGCTCGCTTGCCGAGCGGTCGGCCGGCCTATCCGGAGCATTGGCTGGGGGGGGGGGGGTCACCAGGGGTCGTGGCGGTCGAGCATCGGAGTTGTTCTTTAACGCGCTCGAGCAGTTATGTCACGATTCTGACTTACAACAAGACCACGGGGTTAGTGATTCTGGGAATGGCGGCTGAGATGGAGTTTGGCTGCGAGGTGGCAGCCGGTTCTTCCTCACACTTTCACATATTGCAGGAAAGGGTTGAAAATAGACTGTGAGGCGGCGTTTTGTTCTGGCTGCTTGTGTCTTTGTGATGGTTGTCTTAGTGACTACATGGAGAGTCTGTCTCTTCTGGTGGGGATTTGTTCTTGAATCCTGTAAGGTTAAATAAACTCAATAGAATAAAACATTAAACCACATTATACAGACTGAGACAGTATGCAGAATAAAATATGTTCTTATTTCATTTTATTTTGGTCAAAAGCGGTGTAACACTAATTAAGTACTAGTTTAGTCTTTGGGACATTTCAGGTGGGAATGTTTACTCCATCTTAGTAACATACTAGCAATAGTACCTGATTACTTTTCCAGATTGAAATTTTACCTGTCGAAATATGTGATCAGCTTGTTAAACATTACACAGGTAGTTGAAACTAGATACAGCGCCAATGTCAACATTAAAGAATGTGAATTTATATTCTAGTCAGTTCTCGGAGGAACGACATCATGCGCACGTTTTGGAGTTTTAATGGCAAAGCAGAATGGAATCCAACCATATGGAATCAGCGCTGAGCGGCATGAAACGTGGGCCAATACTTTCTGAATGACACGCGCAATTAAAAGACGCCAAATGGAAAGTACTGAAGAAAGCACGCTGGCTTACACCTAAGGGAATTACCCACAATTCATAGCAATGCGACGTTAAACAAGGGATGGAAGAACGGGACAGGGTGGGTCGAGGGTTTAGGGGTTGGACCTTTGGTCGGGTTAGATGACCAAGGCAAGCTTTGCTTCTTCTACTCTATTTCCTGCCGTCATGCAGCCATGCGGAGCCTTTAGCGCCGACCACGTACAGCCCGGCTCCTTCTCTGCACGCGCAGTTGAAGGAAATTTGCCAAAATCGGTTTTGTTTTGTTTTCAAAATTTCACTCCAAATGTACTTGACATGGATTGGAAACACTGGCTGGTGTGCTCTAGTTTTTGGATGACTGGTTCCACGTCGTTCATCTCTACCGTTGCTCCTGCCCTCTGACCCCACGCCGTCTCCATCCATGGATAAAGGAAAGGACTCACTGTAGTGACTGGATGTCATTAAAGCGCCTGATCCCACTTGACCTCTTGATCCAACAGCTGGAGCCCGGAGCCACGAGACTGTCCCTGCAGTCTGGGTCCGGCTCACAGATCCGGGGCTCAGTCTGGACGGGAGCGATGCTGAATGGCGGACTAGTCGCGTGCCTTTGCCCTACTTCTTTGCCTCCATCCTCGCTCCCTGAGGGATGTGCTCAGGCTTTCATTTTCCCATTTTCAGCTGGCGGATGTCACAATCTGGCTGCTCTTTACCTCTGGAGGAGTCTGGAGAGGTCAGCTTACTATGGGATGGACGATGCTTCATTACAACCAGATGCATTTCTTTGCCCTTTGTACCACATTGGCGGTTCTATTGAGGAACTTCTTAACACACGTCTCTTAGTTTCAACACATAACTTTTTAATACTCTCTTTGTCTGATTGACTTAAGTTACCGTTCCAAGACACCACCTGTCATGCTCTGACTATGTTCCTTTCCATGAGGAGAGACTTTTACTGGAGCAAAACAATCATCTTCAATCAACTTCATGCCCACGATCGGACGAAGGGTTAGTGTTTGGAGTTTGGACTCCACGCTGATGGTATTTTAAAAGTGATGCTGTGCTTAAATCAGGACTGATGGTGAAGATGTGATGATGAGATGAGCGGTGTGATGGAGCCAGGAGCCGGATGGGGTGGAGGAGGCTCTGAGGAGCCTTTTATAATTTTACAGGAAGGATGTGATACGCTCGGGGGGATTGTGGCAGAATCGATCAGCAGTGCAGAATAATATAGAGAGCGTCTTCTTCAGGGGCCGAGCGACAACTTGACAGGAACCCATCACTGGTGATGAAGCCCCCCACACGTATCGCGTGCAGTAACCCGGGCTTGCTTCAGATCGCGTGGCGCCATCTAGTGGACAGGTTGCATCCAAAGTAAACATCAACACGCGAGGATTCATCTCGAGTCTCCTAATCAGTGTGGACTCCCACGTGGGGGAGGTGGTGAAAGCTTTTCCCGCTACATGAAGAGCAGCGACCTCATTGTGCCGGTAAACATGAATGTGTCCTCAGGCCAACTCCTGTGGACACAAACAGCTGATCTGACTGCAGACGAGCATGGACTTTGTTGAGGCGCCTCTGCGTCCTCTGCAGGCCGCGCGGCTGGAAACGACCTCCGTGTCCGTGGGACGTTTACGGGTCGGTGAAGTTGGTAAGATATTCACAGACTCCCCGGTTCAATAACCGGCTCACCAGCGGGACGCTGTTAAAACACAAACGACACCTCTGTGACCGCAGTGACGTCACCAGCCAGCGGCAAGGAGCCTGCGCATGCGCACATCTTGTGACTCAGCAGGACGTATCCGTACAGCGTTGAGCGGTTATGGGACTCGCGGGGAAAATACTCCGGTGCAGCTGATGGAAAAGGGGGGCAGGTTCCCTTTAAGGGAATGGAGGTAACCATGGTAACGCAAGTTAATGGGTGGGGTTTACGGAGGAGGTGACGTCAGCGTACCGGATGTTTTGCGAATGTGTGATTAAAAGGCCATAATGTCGATCCATGCGCTCCCACGGTACTACAGTTTTGACTTATTTTATAAATGTCCCTGCCGTCTTCATGTTTATTTGACTTTAGTGACATACTAAATACTAAAAGGGATGTGGCTTCTCGACATGCTATCAGGAATAAGGAAACATTTATTGCCAAAATATGTCAAACATACAAGGAATTTGTTTGATTATAATATGTTTTTTTTAAATGTTATTTTGCAATACCATGAAGTAATGAAGTAAATGGTCATTTGTTTTATTACATACAGCCTTTTTATGACATAGGCTACTATGCACGTTTTTGACTGACTATACATCTCATTGTGTCGTCACAGATCTGTCAAGTTGACTTGATGTATAAGTGCATGTTTGCTCTCACTCCCATTTGTGCTGAGTGTGTGCATGTGTGCTTCTGCTGAGGTCTGCGGGATGGATGCGCTCACCAACCTGCAGATTGGGTGTTTTATGTCCTCCCCCCGCTCCTCCTCTAACTCTCTCCCTCCTGTCCTCCCCCTCCCTCACTGAATGTGTGTGTGTGTGTGTGTTGGTGCTCCCCAGCTTTAAAAGGTGCTGCTGTCTCGAGGGCGCTGTTCTGCAGAGGAGCTCAATTCCGAGAAAGACAGGCGAAACCGAAGAGTGTCCTCGCCCTTCCCCCCCCTCGGCTGTGAGTAACATGTTTGTCCTCTCGTGTGTTTGGATCGAGTGTTGTCCTTTACAGCAGAGTTTGGCCTTTAGTGCTTTTGCATTCCTCCTTTAATGGTTTCGTATGCGCGGGGGCCGGTGACTCAGCGGTTTTCAGGGGGGGCTTGAAGGGCGAAGGACGTAGTTCTCTGGGGCTCTGCTAAACAAACACCAACATCATCGTGGATACATTGTCTGTGTTTGGCTTATTTAAATATCACAATCCAGGAAGTACACAAATGTTGGGCACACAGGTGTAAGATGCATGTGGGTTTGCTGTCGTGGATCCGAAATGCTGGAATGAGCTGCCCGATGTCATCAGGGCAGAAGGAGCCACCTGGGTACCAGGTAGCACTTATTTATAGCACTTTGTAGTTTGGCTGTCTTGAAGAAATTGTGCTTTCTTGATTCTCGTTGTTCTGGTTGAAGACACTTATTGGAAGTCACTTTAGATGAAGGTCTCAGCTGATTGAAAGATTGTAAATGTAACAATCGAAACCAAGAAAGTAAAAAATAAAATTCTTATAGTGAAATCTTTTCATTTCCTATATTGAAGCATGTCGAATAGACTGCATTACCCTGAGGAACCCGTCAAGGCCCTTGAACCTCGGCAACGTGCTCTCCAAAGTTGTTTTCCTGCTGACGGACGACGGCTTGATCCTCTGTGATGCCTCCTATTCAGCATGTTCATCCGTTGTGCTGTGAGTCAGCAGACTGGGCATTAGTGTTGTGGGGAGGGACTCGGGGGGGTTGATTTTGGACTCTTTCAATCCTGCTGGAGCCAAATTGATCCGGGATTTGTTTTTCATTTAACTCTCAAACATTTGAAACTTCTGCCTTTATTGTCCGATGATCCTTGTATGATTGTGAGTGTTTGGCGGGTTGAGGACGTGGTCACGTGTTCCTGCAGAGGGCAGAGATGCAGTTTGTACAGATGGGATCATCACACAAATCACACAAGCCACAGAACCGCTTCTGGCTTTCTCGCCCAGTGGACACGCTGCCTTTCAACTTGGCCATCATTTGAATCGCAACTACGCACAGTCATATTGCTGCATCTTCTTCTTAAACTAAGTTGCTGTTTGGTGTTTCTGCAGGCTCCGTCTTCTCTGTTTAAGCTGTAATCATGGGCAGAAACCTGCTGAAGAATCCCAGCGGAGAAGGTAAGAGGTCAAGACGATGGATCAGTCTGAGATCTGGACGGGTCGGTGGCCACAATTTAAACATTTAAACTCCATTTAAAAGAGGTGTGTTCATCTTCTTGAGTCACTAACAGAAACTATTCTTGCGTACTGACAAATTGTTAATGATCGTCAAAAGCAGCCCCTCGAGATGCAGCAGTAAAGGTTAAAGTTAAAAGTATGCTGGTCAAAGTACAAGCCCAAGATCAAGGACGTGGTTATTGGCAGACTGACAGACCGTTTTCCTAACAGACCAGCTGGAATTCTGGGACATTACGGAGAATGGAGGGAGTCAGTGGAAGGTGGAGGACATGCCGGGAGACTGCAGCTACGACTTCCCCACGGACGGAGTGACCAGCTACTTTGCAACTTCCTTTGAGTGAGTGTTTGTTGCTGTTTGATGTTGTTCTATCCACCGGCTCTCTGCAGGCGTTGTTCATGTTCACAAGCTAACATTTTTATTAAAAATACAATTTTGAGATAAATAAATAAAGACTCATTGTACTCCAGAGTTAACCATCAGAATGGAGTGATGTAAGTTTATTAATCAGTTTTAGATGTTAAAAATACAAACATTGTGTCATGTATATATACATGTATGTAAATGTGTATATGTATATATACATGTATATGTGTATATGTATATATACATGTATATGTGTATACAAATGTGTACATGTATGTGTGTATACGTATATGTGTACATGTGTATATATACGTACATGTGTATATATACATACGTATACGTGTATATATACACACATGTATATATGTGTGTGTATATATGTATATATATACGTGTGTATATATGTGTGTGTATATATACACATATATACGTGTGTATATACACACGTATATATGTATATATACACACATGTATATATACGTGTGTATATATATACACACATATATATATACGTGTATATATACATATATACGTGTGTGTATATATGTATATATATACGTGTATATATACATATATACGTGTGTATATATGTATGTATATATACACATATACATATGTGTGTATATGTATATGTATATATATATGTATATATATATATGTATATATATATGTGTATATATGTATATATATATATGTATATATATATGTGTATATATCGTATATATGTATATATATATATATATGTATATATATATATATATATATATACATATATATACACATATATATATATGTGTATATATATATGTATATATATATGTATATATATATATGTGTATATATATGTATATATATATAAAGTTAGTTGGCTTTTTACATCGATCCCGTGCAAAACCCTGCTGCTTTCTGAACGGAACCCGGCCCATTGTGTGTCCCAGGCTGTGTTTGAAGAGACAGGTGATCAACCTGCTACAGGAGGACTATTCCAGCGAGCAGCTGGACGCCCAGCCGGCTGTCACAGTGGAAGACTGGTGAGATGGAGCCAGACGGATGTGCACGCATGCACGCACCTTCTACACGCATGCGCGCACCTTCTACACGCATGCGCGCACCTTCCACAGGCAGCGGAGGTCGCTGATTAACAGGCGTCTTGTTGCACAGGTACTGCGGGAGGACGGATTGTGGCTGCATCTACCAGATGACCGTGTGTCTGCTGGATGAGAACGAAGAGGTCATACAGGAGTTCAAACCGGAGCCGGTGACCCTCGACCCCGATTGTGACGACTGCTCATGGAAGCAGGTACGCGCTCCACAGCCCTTTCAAGGGACATTTTAGTCGTTGCAAGGTGCTGCGGTAGGTTGGATATTCAGAGTAGATGCATCTTGGTGGCGGCCCTCAGCCAGCCAGTGGGCTCACATTCACTACAGGGGGGAGTAATAAGTACAAATATCCGCATACGGACAGAGACCATTGTCTCTGCGTAGGTAGACTTCACTCCACTACATCGTCGTTGATGCTGATACAATAATGCTCTGAATATGAACGGAGACCCAGAACACAACATTTCAATTTTATTTTAAAATAGATTTAGGGAAAGACTATAGCTTTTCTTTAAATGAAAAACCGCCCAAAGTTTAGTTTCTTGTGTTGGTGTGACTACAACACAGGAAGTAACAGATTCATGCATCTATTTTTCCATCTATCCGCTTTTCTTTCTATCAATTCGTTAATTCTTTGTATCTATCCAGCTTTCCTTTCTTTCTTTCCTTCCATCTTTCAATTGTTATTTTTTTCTTATCTTTTTTCTTTTTCCTTCCTTCTTTCATTCTTCTATCTTCTTTTCCATCTTTCTATGTTTCCATCTTACAGCATTGAAAGGTGTCCTGGTGGTAACTATCTTTCCTCACGATCTCTTAGTCAACAGCAGCAGTTTGGTTCCATCGTTACAAAGTATTCCTGCAGGAATGGACGCACACACACACACACACACACAGAGCTGTTTGGCCAGATGACCTTGTATTTGATGCCGTGCTTTGCTGAAGGACTGGCGCCATTGAGAAGAAAGAAAGCGCTGTGTGTTGTCCTTGTTCTTCTTGGTCTGAATGTGGCCTTTGTTAAACCCGCAGTCTGGAACTTTCAACCCCCCCGTGGCTGTGGCATTAATTACACAAACACTGTTTAATGAGTGCACAAACCGAGTCGGCCGCGTTCACATTCCAGAACTTCAGCACCGGAGCCCCCAAACGCCAAAACGCGAGGCATCGGCACGGCGCTTTGTATTAACGTGAGGATGCGAGCAGCGGCGTCAGCACGATACCCTTCACACCACATTTTGCGGACGTACTGCAAAACGGAAAGCGCGTTCTCCTGTATCTAGATTAGCTCCATCAGCAGAGTAGGCACACTGGTGGGTTTGACCAAAATAACGCTGTGCTTTTCTGTCTCTGTCCGTTTGACCTGCAGGTCAGCCACACGTTCACCGACTACGGGCCTGGAATGCGTTTCATCACCTTTCAACACGGCGGACAAGACACCAAGTACTGGGACGGTTGGTTTGGGGTCCGAGTCACCGCGAGCTCCATCACAGTCGACGTCTGAGCGGGAGGAAGCAGGCGGCAATAAAGTTGTTTTTGAGAGGAGGAAGGTGGAGAACTGGAGGAGCACGGCTTTCCAGGTTTTAAGCCTTGTGCTCATCGCCTGCACCTCTGTGTATCCCGCATAATGCTGAAGCTATTAATACAGTACTGACAAATACAGCCGCTTTACTAACTAACTAATTAAAATAACTGCAACAATCTAATAGTTGGTTGGGTGGAGGTGGTGCAGCACCCAAATTGAATTAAAATGATGCAATACAACCATATCATTGCCCGTTTATTCAAGCTGGAGCTGCTATTTAAGGATGTGGATGTTACTTCGTGATCAGTGGAGACAAATGTTTAGACAAATGTTTAGACATTTGTCTCCACTGATCAAGCTCCAAAGACTGGAACTCATTAGTGATTTTGCACGCAAAATATTTTAGTGTTACATTATTTTTTAACATTCAACTCTACCTTGAAGCCCTTCGCCATTATTCTCGTATGTAATCCAAACGACTATCGACTTTTCAAAGGTTTTCGCCTCAGATCTGTGGTATCATACGATGAACATAATCATACGTGCATTGATTACTGTAATTCACTTTTCTCATCACTGAGTGTAGCAGCCGGATTACTCACCATCACAAATCCATCTGGCTTTCAGGATTCACTTACAGTGTATGTACCTGATCTACGACGCCCCTATTTGGGGTATCCACATGCAAACCCAGCCCCTATGAGCTGTGATACTCCATCGGACAGATGTATTCAGTTTGTCAACATTATGCCGCCTCTGTCCCTTTGCAATAAACAATCACGGTGTGTTCTGTTAGTTTATTGGAATAATTTAAATGATTTCATCTTATCTCGAAGACTCTTGTTATTACATTACTTGTTGTAATGTTGGCATGTTGTTATGACAAGATACTTGCATACGTTGTGATAATTGGAGAAATGTTCATTTTGTCAGAAGAGATATTTAAGACGCTTTTTTTGGACTCCACTTTTTAAAAATGACACCAAGATCACTTATCCACATGAACGTTCCCATTTGCGACCAAATGAATGCACTGTTTTTGCTCTAATGGCGTTTCATGCTCATTGAGTCTTAGAGATGTTTTTATCTGCAAGGTAAAAATATATTAATTATATGAGAGCTTTACTCATTTGTACTAATTACTGTTTATTAATTGATTTTGCTTATGAAACACATTAAAGAAAGAAGCTGATGGAGAACTTCAACTGATTGTGCTTTAATTCAGCCGTGTTTGGCTCTGCCATTCTGTAAATACACAGCTAAACAATAAATAAAAAAACAATTATTACAAGAAGGTAGTAATACATACGTACAGAAAATGAAATCAAACAGGGCAACAGAAGTAAGCTAGAAGGAATGCACAGCGCAAGCTGTCTGTAAGGCAACTGGAGCGGAGACAGCGCACTGTGTGTTTGTGTGTGTGTGCGCATGTATGAGTGGCAATGTGACACCATGGAACAAAAACAGTTACTATGGATACCAATAGGAGCCCCTCGCATGTGTCTTTTGCATGAGAATGTCCTCAAGTTCGATTTAGGTACAAAGAGGACTTATAAACACTAAATACTCTCCTGAAGAAACAAACCCTTGTGTCCTTTTAGTCAAAGTGCGTTGTCAGTGGCCTCCGCCAGACGCGTGAACCACGCGTCCCAACCGGCGGCCGCATGTCGGTGTAAACTGAGCTTCGTCGTCACTCCAGGTCCTGAAGGTTGATGGTGCTTCCTGTGAACTGGGAGTTGTCGGAGCCGTTGTCGTCCTCCGTCATCACCGACGGTTCCTGTGGAGGAAGAACACACACAGCTCAGTTCCTCTCCATCCGAACATGGGAGGAGTTTTCCTCCACCCATGAAGGGAGCTCTGATAGACGGAAAAGGAAAAGGGAGAATGCTGAACTGATGTTCAAGGACCCACAGGTGCATAGCCCAAAATCCCCTTCCATGGGGGGTAAGGGAGGAAACCTCCGGGAGAACGTCAGAGGAGGTTCTGCCTCCCGGGATGGACAGATAACAAATGTCATGTGAACAGAATGAACAATGTAAAAGAACATACGACTCTTATTCATTTTCCATGTTTTCAAGGATGCAAGTCAATTGAAATAACTACACTGTGCCCACCTGTAAGATGTTGACAGGTAGGTCAGCAGTGAGCTGAGAGTGGGAGCTGGAGGGCTGAGAGCTCAGCTGGAAGGCGAGGTCCCCGTCACTGGCGGAATCGTCCTGGAGACAGACACACACACACACGGTACCAGGCTTAGTCAGCCGGTGCAAGCAGAAACACACGCGTACCTGTAGGAACTATTTGTATTATAGCAATATTTCTCGGGGAGTCACCTGCAGCAGCTGAATCTGGACGTACTGGGCCCCGGTGACGGGGTCACGCAGGGTCAAGCCCCCGTTGGCTGCTGCCGCTCCTTCACTATAACGGACAGCAGAGGGAGCCAAAGCTGCCTTCGGCCCTTTAGTCTTCCTCTGACTGGATCCCGAAGGCCCTGGATGGATCAAAAAGAGGACACCCCGATGACGCGCTGTAGCCCAGTCCCTTTGGTCTCCTGTCCCGTCACAGAGCATTAGATACGAGACGGGAGTGTGTCTCACCAGAAGAGGCCGAAGGACCGATTTGCTTCCTCTTTTTGGCCAGCTGGATGGCTCTGTAGTCTGTCCGAGCCGAGCCGCCACTCTCCTGACAGACAAAACGGGCCAGAGTCACTTCACTCCGCCGCCAATACCAACATCAGCCAAGCACACGGGTCACTTTTTACTTTCACAGGATGAAATACGACAACAGATGACACATTCCAGTGTTTCCCTTATCATTATGGTGGGGGCGCGCCAACCCCCCCACTCCCCTGAGCTGTAAACTAGCATTTTTTTCCCCTTCAAATTGAACTATTACCTGTTTAAAGTATAGTGTAAATATAAATAAATAAATACAAAATACTTGGCATAAAACTTTTTAACTTCAAACTATGAACAATATATTAGCCGCGTACAACGCTTCCCTGCTGTAAGAGCCAGAAGTGTCTAGTGGAATATCACCAATATGCCGAGTGCATCAACACTCACCAGGAAGCTGCTCGGTGAAACTGCACCGAGTTCCTGTTCCTTCTGTGGGCTGAAGCTGCTGCCGTGAGCGGGGAAACCAAACTGCGTGAGGACTTTCCCTCCTTCCTGAGATCCAAGCACCTCCACGCAGCCCAGCAGAGGCCCCGCTCCGCCTTGGACCACAACCTCCTCCGCCTTGGAGGGCGAGGCCAGCAGCTGGGTAACAGGAGCCACCGCCATGGACGCGGTTGGCTCCACGCTCAGGGCGCTGGAGATGCTGAGCGGGTGCTGCAGGGTGGGGTCCACGGAGGTGCCGGCACCCTGCATGGTGAGAGCCGTGAGGGGTCCAAGGGCCTCCGGGGTAACTGTCTGCACGTCATTCAGATTTAGAGTGCCTTGTGGGGGCAGGACGTCACACACTGATCCTTCCAAACCGTGGTGGGGGCCCATGTCGGCATTGGCGGCCAGGATTAGAGGATCCACGGCTTTGGCCAGTGCCGTACTAGTCCCAGAGACCAGAGCGGGGCCGACAGAGGGGTCGATGGTGAGGATGCCTGAGCTGACCAGGGAGAGGTCCATGGTGAAAGGGCCGTTACAGCTGCTCCCCGACACGGGCATCCCCACCCCGATGCCGGCACAGGGTGCAGCACCACCAGGCACAGCAGAGAAGAGAGAGCTGAGGTCCAGGTTGGTCAGCTGGTCAACCCCCGCAATGCAGGGCCCGGGCCCGGCAACCGTTGTCGGGGTAGAGCTGATGAGCTCGCTGCTGGGGGTCAGGGTGGGCGTGGTCTCCATCTGGCTGAGAACATCTGGGATGGAGAGAGAAGAATGAATTCTACTCGTTTAATACGGTAATATACCGGCATGTGTACCACAGTAGACATTGCAATGAAGTAGAATTATTAAACGCTAATTTGTGGAATGATTATGGGTTCAATCATTATGAAGATTGACTTAAATATCCCGATTTCTATTCATACAACTACAATAACAATCCTTTTTCAAAAATATTATGTGCATCTTTGTGGCTGAGACGGTGTGTAAACATAGTGGTAATATAATCTCCAACATGGGGGGAATGGACGTGTGTGTAGATCCATCTGTCCAAAGTAATTTGCATACTGCTGCACCAAACTGATGATATGCGAATACCATGGCAATTATATCACACAAATCTTATGATCGTGATAATCCTGTAATGAAAATGAGACATTTCATTTCACCAATGCATGCGTGGGCCACCTATGAGCTGCACCCTTCTGCGTTACTGTGGTGGTCACTAACCAGGACTGAGGTGGTGGTGTTTGAGCATGTGGCTCTTAAGGCTGCTGCGGGTGGAGAAGTGCTTGGAGCAGTTGGCCACAGGGCAGCGAGTCCTCAGGGTGCTGGCGTCCTGCTTGTGCTTCTTGGAGTGGATGTACAGGCTGCTGCGTGCTGAGAACTTTGCATTACAGCCTGAAGAAACATAAAAGGAAACAAACGCCATGGAAATAAGCCCGCAGAGAAACTTATTAAATACAGTGAACAAAATAAAAAAAAACTTCTACATGTGCAACTGATCTAAGTAACTACTACCCACCTAAAACAATACAACATGTTTGACTTTCTCTCTGTGCGATACCTGAACGTACCTTCTGCATGGCACTGGAAGGGTTTTGTACCCAGATGGGTGATACTGTGACCTTTGAGGTGCTCGGCCCGGGTGAAGGATTTCCCACAACCCTCCTCTGTGCAGACAAAGCGTCGGTCATCATCGTGTTTCCTGACAAACAAAGAAGGACACAGGTCAACTTGTGCACTACATTAAGACAACAAATCCTTCCATTTGAATGCGCCTGTATCTAAACTGTAACGACAGGTGATACATGAAACCTTCCAGTATAATGAGGACACATTTGGTTTCCTGAATCCGTTAGTAATGTCAAAAAGTGAAACACTCCGACTTCAACTGATAACTGTATCCACCCTGTTGTCTCAGCACTCACCGTTTGTGTCGGAGCAACTTCGACATGCTGGTGAAGGACCAGCCGCAGCCCTCCGAGTCACAGACAAATGGCCTCTCACCTGGAACACGGACGTTACATGTTCATTTATTAGGGCACGCCAGCATGGAGGGGGACTTTGGGCTTAACCCGGGCTTTCTGCTGTCACGCAATTATCTGGGCGGAAACGTAGACCTCTCAAAGTGATCGCGCAGACGGCGCGTTTCCCACGTAGTTCCGTCTTAGCAGTTTACAGTGACGATGTTTTTGGTCAAATGTGAACAGCGGCTCTCATTTGACATGAGGGAACACATACATCATCCTTTAAGAAAACAGCCTCTCTGGGGAGAGTATTCTATCCCTCCCTCCCTCCCCCCATCCACCCATCAGCTCACCGGTGTGACTTCTCATGTGGATTTTGAGACGACAGGCCTTGTCATAGGTCTTGTCACAGCCCGGGTAGGTGCAGGTGAAATGGCCCGTTTCTCTGAAGTGAGTGCGATTGTGAGAGAACAGGGCACTGAAGGTGATGAAGGTTTTCTCACAGCCTGCACATGACAAGAGGGAAACATGAACCAAAACGATGGCAGACGGCCTTCGGCGCGGAGCATCAGACTGCTGAGACGAGATGAACATGGTGGGCTGTGTGCATCTTTAGTAGCATCATCAACCGCATTGGTGGCGGTTTTGTCTGCTTCACTTCCAACGTTAAGCCTTGTACTTGTACTGGTGTACGGGATAACATACAAGCAAAAATAGTTACAACAACAAAAGAAAAAAGCAAACATTAAGTTGTGTTACCTGGATATTCACACTTGTGGGGCCTCTGCGGCTCAAAATGGACCCTCTGGTGATTGGTGAGTCGCATGGCACTGCGGAACCTCTCGCTGCAGATCTCGCAGATGAAGGCGTTGTCCTGCTCGTGGACTTTGACGTGAGCCTTGAGGTTGTAGACCGTGGTGAAGCACCGCCCGCAACCCTCGAACAGACAGGTGTGCGGCCGCTGCTTGTCGTGGGACTGCAGGTGGCGCTTCAGCTTGTAGGAGGTGGCGAAGGCCCAGCCGCAGCCCTCCACGGTGCACTGGTAGGGACGCGGGTCCTCGGCGTGGTGCAGGAGGTGAACCTTAAGTTTCTGGCGTGTATTGAAGATACTGCAGCAGGCCGGTTCGGGGCACCCGAAGGCAGCCACGGCCTCCTTCTTGGACCGCACCAGCGGCCCGGAATGGAACTCCCCGGTGTCGCAGTCTGCCACGTTCGCTTTGGGGGACAGTGTGACCGCATCAGCCTCTGTTACGGCGCACAGCGTCCCCACCTCCTGCTTAACCAAGGGACAGGAGTCCAGAGATGTTCCGAGCTCCGATAGCGAGCAGTCGTCCACCGGAGCCAGCTCGCAGTCACTGGCGGACAGGCCGGGCCGGGGCTCTTCCTGCTGGCCGGCGCTGGACACCGCCAGGGTGCTGATCTTCCCGATGGATTTAGAGCCACTGTCATAGTTGAGAAGAACAATGTCCTCGTGGTCTTTCATGCCCAGGTGCTCCTTCAGGCTCACCATGTCGTCCTCCTTGTGCACGTAACCCTCCGGCGGGGCCGCGAGAGTCAGTATCCCGTTCTCGATCGTCACGATGATGCTTTGGTTGTTGATGGTGATGGTGCCGGAAAAGGTCTCGCTGGCGGGCGGGCTCGCGGAGGCCGCGGCCGGGTCCGCGCCGCCCCGCGGCCCCGCCGACTCGGACGCGAAGTCCGCGGTGTCCATGACTTCCGCGGCGGCCGAGCCGCCCGAAATCAGGGCGCCGCTCTCGCCCACACGCGAGTGCTGCGAGAGCTCCCGGGCCGGTTTACCTCCATTGTTTTCGGTGCAAATCTGCCCACAGATCTTATCGCCATATTTGTTCGTCAAAACAACGTCTTCGACGGTGTGGTGAAATGCGGTCTGTTTGGCGGAACCCGCGGTGCCGCTGTCGTTTAGCAAGTTTAAAACATGGTCGGCTTTTTTCAGGTTTAGGGTCTCGAGACAGCTCAAGTTGTCATTGGCTTCATTAGGAATAACGTCGGTGCCGTTTACAACCTCCATGGAGCCGGAGGGACTCGCATTAGACCACCCGGGGGGTTTGACGTTACCTTTCACTCGGTCGCCGCGCTCCGGGGACACGTCCGGTCGCCGTTTACTCGCTTCCCCGCTGACATTAGAAACAACACACGGCTCGTGGGAGGTTTTTTCCGCCCCGGTGAAGCTCCCGGGCACCGCAGCGCCGTGGCTCAGCAGGGAGGGCTGCTTGAAGGCGCCGTCCTCGCGCTGCTGCCGTAAAGCTGGATCCGGTAACGTGAAGCCTCTCTGTGGCGTCGGCTCCTCTTCCCCGTCGAACAGAGGCAGCGCCATTTGCATTACGCTGTCCCCGCTGTCCACCCCGTATTTCCAGGCAGTCCTTGCAAACGAACCGAGGAACGCATCCAGCTCGTTCTCTTTCTCCGCGTTCATGTTATGAAGTCCGTCATTCGGTCCATTGCCCGGTGCGTTTGTTTTATCGGTGGCTTGCGGTTTGCAGAAAGGCGAACCAGCCGCTCCGCTGCCATTTTCCGCCAGTAGGTGAAACGGTGACGTCCCCGGCCTGGTGGTGTTGTTGTTATTGTCACTTTGTGGCTCCGGCTGCCCCAATAGTCCATCCGCTTCGTTTCTGGTTGAAATAAAGAAAGGTATCGCTGATTGGAGAGGAGGCAGAGCGGTCCTGTGCAGGGCGCCATGTTGAATGTGAATGTTTGGGGCACCAGAAAGCCCCTGGATTTCCATCTTGGTATCCCTGTAGCAGCGGACAGGAAAGGCCCGCCCTCGTGCACGGGGGGCGTTCCAGAGAGCCTGCGCGCGGGTCACGGCAGACCGGAAGCTGCCTGTCAGGCGGCGGGGACGTTCTTTGGTGCCGGGTGGAGGGAAAACGCTGATTTATGAGAGGCGTTTACACCACTTTACTAACCACCAACGGCTCGTGAAACTGCGACTTTCCTGCCACACAATCATTCGTGGTAGATGTTTTCAATCTCTGATGTATAGGAGAATAATAACATCACTGACATCAACCATGTGGCAAAAAGCACACGTCTTTGTTTCAGTTGAGTCAACCTCAACCTGAGCTCCCAATAAGACACTGGTGATGCGCTGCAGACTGGTACACTGGGAAGGTTGGGCTGGCTATGTTGTAAATACTTCACAGAGACAATATTGACGCTTTTGTTTTTATTTTATTTTGACAGCGCTACTGTTTCCACTTCCGGTGGCGCGAATAATACACGCAACACGGACAATAGTGCGATCGAGTCATTGACAAGTGATGTTACTTCAACTCTGTACCTGTCTGCCAAACCGGTTAAGTTTGTTGGCTGTACACAGGTGTGTTTACTGTCAGTGTTGGTAAAAGCATTTAGGGGATACAAGATGCCTACGTACACAGCAAGTGGAAATGAAAACTTCCAGTATAAGGACATATTTGGTTAAATAGAAAAATAAATAGTAAAATAGTAAATTCCTCACCACGCTCAGAGATGTAACATTACACAGTTTGAAATGTTCTATAATATGTAGGCAATTAACTGAGCACAGAGAAACTAATTTAAAAAAAAGTGGTAGATTTTCTCCACTATGTTTGAGGTTTGGTACCATATTAGTGCTCAGAATTAAAAAAAAATAGTACCTTCAGGCTGGCGTAATTAATATAACTTTTTTAATTAATACAATTAATTAATTAAATTAATTAATACAACAGCTACCAATGCAGCCCATAAATTACAAGAATTCACTGAACGTCCTATTTTTTGAATAAGCGGAAGAAAATAAAATGAGGACAAATAATTCTGATAGTTTACTTTTAACCCCTATTTGACACAATGCAGGTTGCACACTGAAATACAATACAATGCTGATGGCTGGATTCATAGGTGAATTGTTACCTTACCTGCAGTGCATCAACAGCTCCACCCGATGGCAGCAGACGTGTACAGAAGTGTATGCGACGCGCTTTTCGGGAAGGGATTGCTCACGTTAGTTACGTGAAGGTCTCTGAAACTCGTATCAAAGAGGATATAAATGTCGCTACTGGGTTAAGCAGTTTTGTTCTGTTCCCAACATGACCCTACTGTCAAAATAATAACAGACTACAAATGAACCGAACACATTATCTTTATTTTGGTTTCTATGCAAGCGCTATAAAACACTGACAGACCTAGAATTTAATTTTGACTGACACAAATCAAGACGGAAGGACATATTTAGAGTGTCTAGAGAGCAACAAAATGTAAGGAAAGGAAGACTTTCACAAAATATTCTGTACATTACTTTAGATGCATTATTTACATGGTAGCCGAGGAGGCCGTGCGGATCACACTGGACGGGGGGAAGTGGTGAGCAGTATTCCACCTGGGAGTGTCACTAAATAATACTGTGCACACTGTATACAAAGCTCCACATGCGTCATACAAAAGTATCCCGTACGTTTCTGTGGCCGTGTGTTGGCGTACTGACACACGCATGCATGTTTCAAACACAGTGTGCTACAAACCTAAAACTATTGGCGTGGCTTCTATATGTTTGGGCTCATCACATCCGCAGTCCCTTCAAGTATGCTGCACGCAGTAACAGTACAAATAGAGCGCTCCCGCACAGATCACTAGTCAACTCATGTAGGAAGGTTGTATGAAGTCCTGTTCCACCTGTCACCCAATATACAGTAAGTGTTTCCTTTTTTTTCTGAACAAGTTCAATCATCGGCAGCATATTAGCACAACAAGCATGCAAAATAACATGTTTTGTCATATAAAAATCCTCCCTCGTAACACACTTTTAGGATTATGACAGAAATAAGGCCACATATCCATTTCCTTTTCTGATACAATATGACACATGCTTGAAAATTCATTTACTATTGTTATATTTGTCTCTAAAGACTGGTCACTTATTTGCTAAGTGCCGAAGGTTTTAACCCGACTGCACAGTATGTGTGGATGGTGAGGAAAAGATCCCCAATGCAGAAATAACACATTTAATAGAGAAAGAAAGTAAACGTCTGCGGAAAAAAAAGTCCAATTTGCAAATCCGTCTGTTTATGCAGCAGCTGGCGAAGACCAGACTGTGCACACATCTCACACTTTGGAGGAAACCAAACCTCACTCTCCTTTTGTTATCCACCGTGTAAGCGGTGACCTCTGATTCTTTCGCACGTTCTCTGCTACATACCAAGTATTCTGGGGCGTGAAATAAGTGCTGACCAGCTCCCTTTACTTTAAACAGGTCCAGACAGCTGGAGAACCAGAGGGCACCCACCTCATGAATGATTCATGCCAAAGGACGGCCCCACAATATAGAGGAAGAGGACGGGGGGGGGGAGGGGGCAGGGGGGCACGGGCATATTTAAGCTTTGCTTTGTGACCGGGGCTGAAGTAGTCTCTCGATATTGTTGAAGCGTACGGTGGCTTGTAGAAAGTGGGGATATTTCAGTCGGTTCTCCATCCCGAGCCAATTTCATGCTGGTATATATATATATATATATATTTCAAGCTTTCAAGAGGGGCTCGAGCGCCTTCCCTTCCAATCCAACCGGGATTAGTTTCCACTCGCCGAGGCTCGGTGTGAATGTTGACCTTGAAACGTGGAGCCCCTCCACACAACACATCTAAACTTAACTTCCCGTTTAGGATTTTCACAAAGCAACATGAAAGAAAACATTGGCTCGCAGACGCCACAACCTGATATATAATATCGGACTCTGAACCCTTTTTGTGGCTGTGTTGACGAGTGAGGGAAACGCCTTTGATTGAAATGCGGTTTGTAAATTGTCGTAATAGTTGTTTCGTTAAATCGGTGCCGGGTGCTGGAATGTGTTCAGCACATTTCCAGTTCCGGTCTTCTTGGAAGAACCCATCCCCACCAGTTCTTCTGGTCCACGTCTCCTTCCATTACGACTCGGCTCCCACCCCCCCCCCCCCCGCAACCATGCAACACATGTAGCAAATACACACACACGCACACACAGACACACACATGTCACTTTGCCCCGATGTCAGGACCACCGTCCTCGCTGCCGTTTGTCTCAGGCGTGCCTGTTGCGCTCCTGGGGGGCCGGCTTGGTGGATGTGGTGGTGGTGGTGGTGGACATGGAGGGCGAGTCCGAGCAGGCGGGCAGAGGGGGCCGGGGTTCGATCCCTCGGCTCTTCATGAAGGACAGCAGCTGGTCGGGGATCTCCGCCAGGACGTCCTTAGCCAAGCGGGCCATGCTCAGGACCTGGTTCCCCGACCGGTCGATGTAGTCCCGGAAAGGAACGAACTGGAGGGCCGGAGGGGGAAAAACGGATGGTGAGTGTTTCCTTGTTTGTTGGTTACAGTTAAAAGCGACAGAGGCTCCGAGCACCAGAGTCCCTCTGAAGAACCTCAAATGCTTCTGCGGCAGTGTCTTACCTGGACGATGTCTCTCTCTGCGATGCGTCCCCTGGAGGACACCCTGACTTCATCCCCGTCCAGCTCCTCCATAGCTGCAGACAACACGCACATGGTCTCATGTACTACCGAACCACATTGAGTCCACAGCTGGAGTCCATTATTCCTTCATTTTCTTTGTCTCATTCATTAGTAGAACTCAGCACCAAACCGACTCACTTCAGGGGTAAACAAAGTTAATCGTGTCCCGCAGGACAAACGTCCCTCCTCCACCAGAACATCGTTGGTTGGGTTTATTCCTCTAAACGCTCTGCTGCTTCTAGATAACAAACACTTGTACATGCACGCGGCTGCTCATGTCCGTATCGTATATAAAGGTACAGGAGAAGAAATCTCCGCGTGCAGACCCAGCTGCTGCCGACCTCAGGGACTCGCGTGGAGTTCACACTCTCCGAGGTTCAGACAGGTGAGCGCTTCCTGCAGCAAACAGTCCCTCGTTCTGTAAACCACCTCACGAAGTGAAGCTTATACAGGTGACAGGGAGGAAGAGAAGGTAAAGAAAAGCATAAAAACAGAATCGTGCAGTATATTTAGAGTCTTCAATGAACAAAGAAAATCAGAAGAATAAAGGGACAAATCCGTGGCATTTTCCCCAGAGGGACTCTGAATTTCAAGGGGAAAAGGGGAAGGATGCTGATGGGAGACTGCGGAGGCTCCACAGGGCACATGGAGGAGATCAGATGAAGCAGCAGGGGAAAAGAGGAGAAGAAGAAGGAGCAGCAATGAGAATCATTCGATATGCTCGTATAAGAGGGGAAATAGTGAAGATATGTTAAAAGAACGTGGTAGTGAAGGAGGGTAATCCTGGGCATGTGTGTGTCTGTGTGTGTCCAACACATCGTTTGTAGATGACGTGTAACGTGGTTTACTGGGGATCTTTTCACAATTGTTACTTAACATTATTGATCGTGAGAAAAATGCGAAAATTCCAATTTCCAGTCAGTAGTTTTCCTGAGACGCCACATTCACACGACGCACGACGCCTGTGCCCAGCAGGGAGGCATGAAAACAGAGAAAAGAACAATAAACTACATATCAGAAGCAGAATCCGCTCTGCTGGCCATGTGTGCGTCCGCATATCAGCAGTTTGCACATCCACACAAACGAGACAAAACAAAAACAGTTCAGTGTCTAATATTTGCAAATGGTTCCCATGAATCTCTTCAATTTCCTCCACGGTTTTGCCATCTAGCAGATGTTGACTTGACTAATGGGAAAATGAGGATCACCGGAGTCAGCGGGACTCCCCCTCCGGGTACCACCAATAATCCGTCCCTCTGTACAGACATCATGCTATTGATATTCCCTCATTGGGTGTTTGGATGTTTCATTCTGGCACAAAGTGGCGGAGGATCTGACAGGAGGCTCCCAGTGGGAGGCTGTTTTTTGACTGACATGGACAAGATGCGTATGATTACACCTCATCATCTGTGTGACGTTCCCATTCTGACAGCCACACAATCCCGGATGAGCGGCAGAGTTCTGGGGTCCCTCAGAATCCCGTGAGCTCGAGAGACGATTCCGTAGGACTGATATGAGGACGACACTGGAACTGATAGGCCGTGGAGGTCATCGAAGTCACAAGTGACTTTGTTGTTCTGACTCAACCTGGACTTGAGTGAGACGGGTGATGTCATCCAGGCACTGAAGTGCAGGAAATGTCTTCTTTTTGTCGGAGGGCCCCCAGACCCCCGTCAGTCTGATCCTCCCTCATTTTCAATGCTCCAAACTGCATAATATAAATATTAGAATATTCTTTTTCATTTCCTACAGTCCCAACGGTTTGTGTGTTTGTGTAATATCGGAGCCACAGACGAAAACCCTTGAGTAGCCTCGACGCAGGACATATGTGACAATTCTCCTCCTTGCAAGTATTATTTAATTAATGTCATGTTTTATGATTTTACAACAATGTCGAGTAAGAATGTTCTATCAGAAATGTATTTTTAGCAATGTGGGGAAGAAAAGCAGTCAGGCTTGAGGGGGAAAAGGGGGGGCGAGGAGATGAAACAAGCCGGAGCAAAAGGGGTTATGATCAATTTCAATTTCAAAAGGCTGATCCCCCCCAGACGGGGATCCCAGAGCGGCTCGGCTGCGGTGGGGAGGGGGGGTGATGTAAGAGGAGACCTGTGCAAAAAGAAAAACAGGCTGAATACATTTCGAGCACCAAATCCAGCGAGAGGGGCGCTTGATTTAAACCTCTTTCTACTAGCGATGCGTCTCGCTTGCGAAAGCAAGACACGGGGTGGAAATCCGGCCGCATGAAGCCCTGCAGGTTGAGCGACGGCGTGTTTAGCCGCGGCCAGGCTTAGCACCGGCAGGAGGCGAGAACAAGGAGTTACTGAAGACGACCCATCAAGCACAGCGGCTCTTCAATCGAACGTTCGGCCGGATCCTTCGTGGCCGCCATTAAACGCCATCAGCTTCTTCTCCCGCAGGAGAAAAGCTCTTACTTGGAGCTCAGATGTGCACATCATTCTGTGTAACCAGTGACTGAAAGTGACCATATTGTAATGTCAAGATGGTCCTTGTGGCTGTGGTGACCTACTACATAGTGTCCTCGTCTTCACAGTAATCTTGATGCCAAGCAAAGCGATAGATAGATAGTTAGATATAAACTTGATTAATCCCCAAGGGGAGATTCGTGTGCAATGACAGCAAGAGAATAGCGCGTTCAGCTTGTGAAACAACAGGCCGTGTACTCATCCCCATTTGCATTCAGCAGGGAGATGCAGGTACCTGTTGGCTTTTCATTATTAAACTGGTTGGGTTTTCCAGGGAGATGTTTTTTATTTTTTCAGGTTCTGCAGCTGATGCCATCTCTCCGTCCGCAGACTAACAAAGTCTCCGGGGCGAATAACCAAACAGCCTGCTGCACTGATTGACACTGCAGGCGTGTGAACGGTTTGGTGGGCGAGGGGGGGGGATGAATTGAGGCAATCCATGTCTGCGCAGCGGAAGCTTTGAGTGGCTGACATTTGCACGTGTAGCTGACCTACTTCGACAATGCTGCAACGCGAGTGGCAAAAGAAAGGAGAATCCATGAATGCATTCTCTCTTTACTGAGCCGATAAGACACAAACACACACACAGACTTACCATCGAACTCAGCGGGGCCCACTCCTACGATGATGATAGACATGGGCAGGGAGGCTGCCTGTGGAGACAACACAGCACGGGTGAGAGACGGTCTACTGCTCACCCTCAAAACACACACACACACGCAACATCATGCTTGAATGTCCCGTAAACGGAGGACACGTCCCCGCAAAGAGAACAAAATATGCTGTGGATTCTTTTCATATCCAGGAGATACAGCGATGAGTAATTTCACATCCACTTTATGTTAGGAATTCAGCTGGCAAAACACAGTAATAACAATGGTTTTATATATATTGCCATTTGAATGCACTGGTCAGTACGCAAATGAAGAATAGGTGTGAAGAAAGAATAAATAGTATTGGAACATCTCAGAGTATGATATGTTGTTGTCAGTTCTGCCGGCTCTAACTGATACAATTCTGAAAACCAATTTGACTTACGACCCTTTGTGAAATTATTTCATGTTCCCCAACTTAAGCTTGAACACAGGCCATGATATTGGCCAACAGATGAATACGTGTCACTGTGTTAGCTCTGTATTTGGTCTCCACCAACTCCACCAAAAATATCTCTAAAGATCTCTAACTTCTAAATGCTCCGCTATGTCCAGCAGCCTGTTGCTCTTGTATGTTTGTCGCTGATGTACCGTCGGCCTATAGGAGATCTTTTGTTGGAAAAGCTCCCTGACGCTGCTGGAAAAGAAAAAGCTATTTTAGAGTGACAAGCGGAACCAAAGCATGAAACGTTAAAAAGTTAAAAGACTCGTTAATTGTGCATTGATTCGTGCAGGTTTAAGGTGTATAAAAAACTAAAAAAGCAAATTGAGAGAATAGTACAAAAGTCTTAAGAAATTGTATTATCCTCACTTCAAACTTTGAATCCAATAAGTAATGTTGCATGGTTTATAATGAACTACAACTAGTTTCCATGCTTGCATTTCCTTTTACAGACATTTGCAGTTGACTCTTCTGTCAGCTGGTGAAATGAACTGTCTTCTGTTTTCAGATCGGCTGCAGTTTTTATCACATCTCTCCACAGTTCAAGGTGACACAGGGTGAGTAAATGATGTACAAAAGGTCATCTCGTGGATTAAGAAGTCCTTCAAGTTGATGGCGCACACACCCGTCAGGTGGAGGCGCTGCGTGCCGCGTTGTGTCCACTCACATTGACCACGGCCTCTTTGGTCTGAGCCATGTCCGAGATGACGCCATCCGTGATCATCAGCAGCACAAAGTACTGGGAGCCGTCAGTCACCTCGGCAGCACACCTGCCATCAGCACACACACACACACACACACACACACACACACACACACACACACACACACACACACACGCAGGATTTATAGGTTGTGCGTAGAACAAGAGCAAAGTAACATCACGTTTCTCAGTTGATCAGTGGCATATTTGTGTGTTTCGTTGACGCGTTTCTCTGCCTGACTTTGTTTTACTCTTTTTGAGTTTCTAATAAGTATTTAACAAGAAGACCAAGATCAGCCCGCAAAATGTTCTCTAACATGAAAACAGTCCGTAATACAAAAGCTTGTGCCGGTGGTTCTGTTAGCATTAGCCACACACAGCATCCCAACCATGAATTCACCCATTCACACCCATTCATACCGCGGTTGCAGGAGCTACCTGCAGCAGAATGCCGGATTAGCCTTTAGACAGACACAGAGGTGGAACCTCACAAAAAATCAAATGCACGACCCCCCCCCCCCCCGACGAAAACCACGACGCGGTGCATGTGACGAAAGGGAACTGACACGCTGTTCCTGCAGGGTCGCGGTCACCGGGGGCACCGTGGTTTGAAGCGGGGGGTCCACCGAGCAACTCTTGACCCCGCGAGGTCTCTGCGTCCGCGCGCCCCGGTTTCCGGCCGTGTTTGATGCTCAATGTTCCGGTAAGCATGCGACCGTGTTTCAAAGGACCTCCTCTCCTCGTCGGTATCCCTCCTCTGTGAAGGTGCACCTCGTAAAGGCTCCACAGAGACTCATAAAGGGAGGCGGCTCCGTCATCTCTTTGAGCTTTTGAATGGGGGGCACATGGTGCTCTGCAGGTCACTGTGCAAAGCGTCAGATACTCGGGTGGCTTTGTGCCGGGTCGTTGAGTATGTATACTTTGGTTCTGCATTGGTTGATGTGTGTGTGTGTGTGTGTGTGTGTGTGTGTGTGTGTGTGTGTGTGTGTGTGTGTGTGTGTGTGTGTGGATCCCAGCAGGGAGGAGGAGGACCTGCTGTCTGACTCTGTTTGATTGGCTCCTGCTCTCAGTCTCCCCCCCGAGGCAAAGCTGGTAAAATGGCAAAGTGTCTCTCACTCCTCTGCACCTTCCTGTGCGCTGTATTGCCGTCTGTCCCCGTGTACGTCGGTTACCTGAACAAACACCTTTTCCAAACAAAGCCAGTGACGACAAAGTTATGGTACAGCTGCTCAACGCCGTAGTGAAGCCGGGTGAAGGGAAGGCGGTTCGCCCCAAAGTGGGATTTTAATAAATGTGTCCTCACATCACTGACATCCTTGTTTATGGACCTCTGGTTTGTTGGAAGTTATTTACAAGGAAATGGGAATTTATCAGAACAATAAATGGTAGCATCCATATATTTGTATATGCAAGAGATCAGAAGTATTCATTTAAGTACAGGCCTGTTGTGAAATGAAACAATCTGTGTTATTCATCTTATTTGCTCACAATGAATGGTTCATACGTTGACTGATTCCAGTGTTGTGTTGGTCAGACTGTAGAATGATGTATTGCTCGTGTTTAGGGAATAATAACACAGCAGCCGGCATAGTTTTTAATCTTCCTGACTGCAGCACAAATCAAAAGTTATATTTAAATAGAACAGCAAAGAACAAAAAGTTGGACCAAAGAAGCAGTAAAAATAAAACGCGTTCAAAGTGTTGGAGAGGAGCAGCGTACTTTCCATTGGCGGTGACAATGTGATCCTTGTTCCAATAAGTTACATGCGCTTACATGTGGCTGTGTGTATTTACGTATGAGTGGATGGAACCATGCCTCCTCCTCCTCCTCCTCCTCCTCCTCCTCCTCCTCCTCCTCTCTCCTCCGACGAGGACGAGACAAAGTGGAAGCGAGGAGAGCAGATGAAAGTGAGGATGAGAGGCAGCCGAGAGGGAGGAGAGACTCGTCTAAATTAAAACATAAAAAATGTATCAGATGCGACGGGAGAAAAAAGGACACGAGCCAGGAAATAAAGTTTGGGATCTCTGAGGCTTTTGAGACGAGAGCAGAACAACACGACACTGCTACTCTCTGCTTGTGCAACCACAATCACACGCAACGCGGGCGCAATACATGAGTGATCCCCGCCGGGCTAAAAATACCGCAGCAGGTAATAACCAAAACCCACTTAAAACTTAACGCCGGCTTTTGTTGAAATGGAAGTCGCTTTTTAAAAAGTGCTCGACGGATGCCGAGCTGCAGGGCTCGTCAGGAAAACACCGTCTGATGCAAGATTCATGCCACTTATGTGACTTTGTGGGGGAGTCAGATCGGCTTCACATACTTCACGGCGCCGCTGCATAAGCTGCAAAGTGTAAAACAGGTCCAACATCAAATGGATCCCTAAATACAAAATGCAAAGGATCCCTGCGTTAGCTAATGGTCACTGCTGCCGTGACAGTGACTACTGACATTCAACGTTCCACGTTGGCAGTGGAATGAGCCCCGTCCCTGTAAGGTGGGCATCAGGAATGTTTGCCAGGGGTCTGTTACACAAATGGGTCTGGTGCTGTTTGTTTACCTGGATGTGTCTCACGGCTCCGCGCGTCTCTTTACCAGTTCATGTTGAATACGGTATTTGAAATGTGTTCCGATGAAATGCATGAGGGGAAAATGCTAAACGGATCCCCCCGCTCACACCCATTTATTCACCCTAACCAGCATTCACAGCCAAACAGCCACTAACGGACACGTCCGTACGGAGCCTTCAAATCCTCGGATTGAAGGACAAAACCGTTCTGCCACTGAGCCACAGGCCCCCCGCGAGCGTCATGATCAGAATGATGTTTATGGGATGATAAAGAGGTGCCTTCACACGGGAATAACCTGTTTGCCATTTCAAAGCGGCACAAACCCGACGCGATGCCATTGGGGAACCGGTTGTGGCCCCCGGCGGTAAAAACCACCGGGGCTTTGTGTAGGTGATCTGAAGGCGTCGGCATATATTACAGAGCAGGGTATCATCGACCTTTACGGTGACACTGACACGCTCCACGGGGAGAGTGTCCGAGATAAGACACTGGAATGAGACGCGGCTTTCTGCAGGAAGCCACGGTGATTGTGGTGATGTGCACGTGTGTTAGAGGAGCTCGCTGTTCGTTGTACCCAAACACGCTACACGAACTAAGATCGATGGACGCAACCTCTTCTCTGTGCAAGCAGATGAATGCATTTAACATTCGAATGCACAAAATCCTCTTCTTGGAACCCCCCCCCCTCCCCGCCGGCTGGGTCAGAGGTCCTGTGGGAAACACTGCTTCTAAGTGTTTCTAAGTGTGTGTCATTTATATTTCAGACCACATAACCAGGCAGGAAGATTCACAGAGAAAAAAACGTTTCTTTCTGGATAAAACGCCAAACGCTCCACCGCACACTGCTTTTCTGCACTAAATGGACATTGGAGATCTGTTGGAAAAACTGCAAAAACGTTAGTACGACGTTAGACTCTATGCTTGATTGGCAGGTCAGAGCACAGACTCTATGCTGCTGACCTGAAGCAGAGAAACGAGACCTTGGAGGAGAATCCCCCACCAGGTAAACATGGATTAAAAACGCCTCGGGTTGGTTCTCTCGTTAGTTATGAACTCTTTAGGCCTCTTATTATGAGCTTCATGGTTGCATCGCTGAAGAGTAAATAGTCCCCTGAGAGAGGATGTGGGTTTGTATGGAAGAGCTGGAAGGGAACTGAAGGAAACGGCGGTTTAAATTGGATGTAAATATAACGTGCATTGATCCTAAAGATAAAAGCCAGCAGTGATTCCTCTACAAAAACGAGGATGAATGATTGAGAGTTGCTCATCACGTCTGTGTGTGCATTCATGACGCGTAAACATAACCAGCTGCAGGAAAAGTAACGCATGCAGATGAAAGTCATGCAGATTTTTATGTATGAGCAGCATTATGCATGAATGGCTTCATGCGTGAGAAGGTGGACGCGTCTCTCACCGAGCCACCTGGTTGACCACGGGGGCGAAGTTGGTCGGGCCGTACAGCTGGACGGTCCTCAGGCTCTGGAAGTAAGCCTCCAGTACTCCCTCGATGCCCACGCAGTTTGGGGTTTCTGTGTTTGAGTTCTGCAACAAGAGGGAAGCGAGCGTAGAAGAAGAATAGAATCAACGCTATTGAAAGGAGGCCAATGACGGGTTCTTTGTCACGGCAGGATGAGCTCTGCTCCTCAGCACAGCAGGTCTGCTCGGGCTTAACCGCGGTTGCTGGTTCCACTGCCGACGGATGTATTTGCTGCATATTAAATATATATATTGCACCAAATGCAGCACATTGGTGTCTTTGTATGCATCCAGTGCACCTCTACATTTCACTGTGCCCTATCTGAACCACCTTTATGCACTCGAATGCAGCCCCTCCCCAGGAGGAAGCTGCAATAGATAATATGCTCATGTTATAGATGAAATGGCTGTGTGATGTAAAAGTTAGTGAAATAAATTGACCAAATGTGAATGGCACAGACTGAGTCTAGCAGTTCTAGGTAGAAGAGCCCGGCCTCGTACGGAGCGCTTCATGACGGCTCCGGGCTGATTGTCCTCGGTGTGGAGGACATTGACCTCCTCTCAAGAGCAAGATGATTTGACACTTCTGCCGTTCATTTCATTCAAATCCCCCTTTAGTGTCTTCAGATCCTTTTACTTTAAGGTGCCCTTGGTCTTCACAGCACGCGTCCATCCGTCCGTCCGTCCGTCCACACTGAAACCTAACGAAGGTCTGTGAGGCTTCGAAAAGCTGAAGGGCGGAAACACATTTCTTCTTCTTCTTTCTGAAGAATAAAGACATCTCCTTGATCACATTAACGCTCTCGCACAAAAAAGAGGCTTCTCATATGTGTAATAAAGGTCTGTTTAGTACAGCAATAATATCTTATATGTTACATATCTGGTAAACGTTCCTGTATCAGACATTTAAGTTAACACATTTTTGTAGAAATAATAGTAATCGCAATTTAATATATATATATATACAAAAAAGCTCTTCTTTTTGTTAAAGGCACGTTTGCGCTCTGTGGCTTTCTGTTATCTCCCTCGCTTTTTAATTATTTCCCAAGCGACTGTTTTGTTTTCTAATATAGATTTATCTAACAGTATCAAAAGCACAGTTAATTAAGCACTAACAGAGGAGCTGCACTGTAGGGAACTCTAACACAACCAATATTGGATCTAATAAGGTACATTTACTCTTATTCTATTCTTCATTCTTCAATTCTTCATTACGAGACAACACAGTGGAAGTTAGTGTTGGTGAATTCCTAATTAGAGTTGCCTCAGCATGACGCGTGTCACGCCCGGGTGAGCTTTAATTGGTAAAGCTGATTGAGCGGTCGCTCGCCTGGAAAGCTGCTTCAGAGCGATGAATCCAGACGAGCCGGATGCCGGCGCTGTTTTTTTTTTTGCTTCACATACATCAAAACGTTGACACACAAACTTTATTTCTCCTTCCAACCTGGACTGAGGCGGCGCGGTCCAGATTCACTGCTTCTGCTCTCCCCTTTCACAATAAAGGTCCTACACATGTATAATCCAACTACGCCTTTCTGATCCAACCGATCGACGTACCTCATATTTAAGAAGATCATGTAATGTATCTGAGAGGAGGGTTCAGCGCTAAAGCAGAAGAAACTTCTCGCCCTGCGTCTCTCACCAGAGGGAAGGCGTGGGAGATCTTTCCGTCCGGGGGAAGCTTGGCGCCGAAGCCATATGCCGGGAAGTGTTTGTCGCTGTCGTAGTCCTGGATGATCTCCCCCACGGCCTTGAGGGCCATGGCGTACGCGTTCATCTGGTACGGACTCATGTAGTGCAGCGAGGTGGGCTGGGACGGGTTCCCTGGGGAGGGAAGCGCCACAGAAGTGACGTTTACTCAAGTTAACACACGAGTACAATAAGTCTACAGCGAGAATACAGGAAGTTTTATGATATATGAATAATAAAGAAAAAGAGAAAACCAAAACTATTCCTAGTGATGAATTGTTGCCTGAATATAATTTCGTACAGCAATTAAAATAGAGCAGTGTGGCACTTGGTACACTTGGGACGGGTAGCGTGCAGTGTGCAGCCGGGTTAAACAGCCGTAAATGCTATTTCTTTTAACCTCCTTTAACCCACTATTGCTCCTGGACTCATGAATGGATGAAGCGATGTAACTGATATATCTGGTCGGCATGTAAAGTTTGCTTCAAAGCACCGTGGTTGGAAACAAAGCTGAAAGCATTTACATGTTTCCTTCCAGATGACCTTTGATCTTTGTGTATTAGCAACGCTGTCAATTCTTTCTTTTTGCATGCTGCATATTGCATCCTACTCTGTGTTTATCTACATGCACGTCAGCCTCTTATGGGCAGAATATGTATCGCCAGTAACAACCAACCCTGTAAAATAAGGCATAATCACAATAGAGAAAAACATCCAGATGTAATGTGCACCAATGACATGACACAGAGGTGCAGCATCTCAGACAACTTGACAGATATCTGTGCAGTGAAAATGACCCGTACAAAGATGAAAATGGGTTCCATAATAAAAGCAATAACTGTGACGATCACAGACGCAGTACGACAACATATGCGCGGACGCGTCTCGCATGCAGACGGACGCCGTCCTACCGTTGGAAGCTGTGAAGTCGATGGCCACGGTGAAATTGAGTTGTGTCCTGGCGGAAGATCGAGCACATCGGTGTCATTCAAAGCAGACACGCTAGGGCCACCATCAACTCCAGATGGGAGCACCTTTACAGATGTGCGGATGGAGAAACCCACCCGCGGCTCCCTGCTGTCCCCTCATATGTCACAAGGCGGGGGGCCCGCACAGTAATACGGTCCGTTACGTTGGCGTCCAATTCATGTGATCGATAAAAGTAATCAATGCTTTGTGTACAAGCGTGTGAATGATGACGCGAGGTGCTAAAGCGCTTTGAAATGGTCTAGAAAACACTCTGATGATATAGGAACATAACAAATTGTAGCACTTAAATTGTACTTCTAACGCCACTCATCTATAGCAAATTGTAAATTGGCTTATTTGAGGAAATTGCACTTTCTTGTTTCTTTCTCTTCTGGGTTTGTGTCCTTATGGTTGAATGCACTTAATGTAAGTCGCTTTGGATAAAAGCGTCAGCTAAATGACACGTAATGTAATAACATTACTTGATATTGTGTATGTGGGATGGTGATGAAGTTGCCTCCCCCCTGAAAATCTAAATATACATCTAAGGATCAAACTGTGTTCTCTCCAATTGAAGAAAAACTTTGACATAATGAAGAAAATACAGACAAGCTTGCGTGCACGAGAGGTAGCGCGGCCGGTTAGCGTGTTAGCTCACCAGCCACACACAGTGTGACGAGGCCTGAACACCAGCAGAAACCCCCCACTGAGTCACCTTAAGGCAACGCCGATGAAACGAGCTCTTACCCTCCTCGGATGAAGTCGACAAACGTGCATTCTGACTCCACTTTGAAGGACAGCAGAGTCACCTTGGAGACGGAGACAGAGTGAAGGGAGGAGAGGCTGAGCACACGGAACAGAGACGGATCACAACGAGGGCCGACGGCAGACAGCGTCCGTTTCACTGGCATGTGGCAGCAGCTCTTACCGTCCCCGAGTTGACGTATTTCTTCTTCTTGCCTTTCTTCTTAGGGTTCAAAACCTTGACCGCAAAGCAGGAAACAACAAATTAGTTTGCGTCGGTGCAGAAATGTTGCTCGTTCCTGTGGTTGGATGTTTTTAATAGATTGTCCTCAGGTGGGCGGATGGAATCTATAGCACAACAAATGAATAATATATAACACCGTAAAAAGAAATATTGATGCGGTGGCGAGTTCCCCCGAGGTCCTTTGCACATGCAGGAAAATAACGTTTTGATTCCGTTTTAATGAAGTTCCTTTTTACCTCGTAGACGTTGAACTGGCTTTGGCCTCTGGACACTTCTCTGTAGCTCGTGGTGAACTCTCCGATGAAGTCATGACTGCAAGAAGCGTTGATTTAGACGGGAACACACACACAACGGGGAGGGAAATCCTTATTAAACATCAGCAACATTATTTGTAATTAGCTTTAACAAAGAACAAAGACAAGAGAGAGAAAACAGACATACTGTATGTGGTACTTAATAAATAAAATAATTGAGAGAGAAAGATGGTTCAGCACATGATTCTTCATCAGAACAGGAAAACGAATCCACTCCCTCCCTGCAGGCCCCCATCATCTCCGCACCCAAATATATCCCCACCTGAAGCTGTGTGTGAGTATTGGTGTGTGGCATTTAGAATCATCAAGGAGAAAACCACAAGCAATCATCTCCCAGTGGGGGAGAAGGAGGGAGGTCGAGACATAAGGGTGAAGGAAAGGAGACGGTAAAGTAATGAGGCGTAGGTGAAGAAAGCGTCACAGAAGAAGAAAAGGAAGCAGAGGCAGTTTCTCTGGTATCTTGTCTCTTCTATTGAAAGATGTGTCACTTGTCCCATTAGCATTTTATAGAATGATGATATTACTGCGGTATCCCAAATGAGAGATGGTCTGTGATGATACGGACTGATGAGAAACGATTAAAGATGCTTACTGAGAACACACATTGTGTCAGAGGTTTTTGGGGTGAGCGGTTGTATTTGGCCCGTCTGCTGAACCGTGGCACGATTTATTTTTTTACACATGTTAAATGCGCAGAATGTTAAAATGTTTGGCATAAAGAGGTTACTAAATGATAGTTCTCGTCACAGTTAGAATTCCCTCCAGGGGGCTTTTATTTTGAAACAGTGTGTGTTAGAGGGCCAGAGGTCGGCGCGGGGGTCAAGGCGTCAATGTCAGAGGTCATTAGAAGCAGAAAGCTTTGAACGTTCAGGGAGATTTGACAAGTTGCTTCTCAGAGATTCAATTTAAAGAAAAGTACAAGAGGTAGAAACTTGGAATCGGCGACATGAGCTGATTAGACAGACAGCGTAACTAAGAGAGTGCCACCAAACATATGGAAGAAATAGAAGAAGTATGAAGATGTGAAGAATAATACTTGGAATGCTGACTCTTTATTATTCTAACAACGTCCTTTCACCTGCTGGTGATCTGTTACTCAGTGTGTGCCAGGCGGGTGGAGCCCTCCATGAAAATAAGTAAAGAAAAAGCAAAAGAAAAGACTGACCTCCCGTCTCGGTCCCAGTCGTACACGTCCACCTTGACCGTCCTGCAGGGAGGTGACATGGACAGATGTAAGAATCACAGAGGGGGGGGAGAGAAAGGAACACGTCAGAAAGGTTTGACTTTTTAACATATATCAGAAGGGAAAAAAAGGACAAACAATGTCTAATGTCACGAGGGTTACAGCACTAATCCTTCTATACAGCTCAGGTTTTCTGTGGATCACCCTGTTCCTACTCGACCCCGGTGTAAAATCATTAAACAGGACAGGATTTATTACATAATGTCTGCAGGACAGGAGACGGAGTGGACACACAAGTCATGCGTCAAGGCTTCTTCTGTGTACTGGAAGGATGACGTGATGAAACAGGGGGGGGGGGCTTTGTGCACAGCCGAGGGCTGGAAAACGCCACCTCTCCTTAAGCGGTTATTGAATCCCGGCAGCGCTCGTCATGGAGGCTACAACACAGGGATAAATCATGCATCCTCTTGAAAATGTAAGCTGTAAAAAGTCCAATAATTCCTGATAACGTGACACACACGAGCAGTTGGCTGCTTGGCCTCCGTGTTGGACTCAATAACACCAGCGCTGGCCTGAGACGGACAGCATGGCCGACTGCTGGCATTATTCTGACCAGCACGGGCTCCCACCTGCAAACGGAAAATCACCAGGAGACAACTGTGGACAACAAGTCCCCCTCTGTGACTGGGGGCAATTTGGTCGCCTGCTTTTCCTGTTGACCTTTTGACCTGTGTCATCGGATGTGCTCACCCCGACATCCCCGTGTGACTCTCTCCAGTCAACAATAAACACCTTTGAAACATTACGCTTTCCACGATCTTTGTTCCTACGATCTGAATTCACCACAAATCCATCTTTTTTTTACACATTCTGACGGATCACAATAGCATTGACCTCTGACCCCCGTGCTGTTGCCTCACCTGTCATAGTCTCCGTTACACAGAGCTCGGACAGGGATGGTGAACGGCTGCCAAACGGGGTTCAGATTGTTCTTGATCACCTCGGTCTTGTGGCAGATGGTGAACCTGGAAACACAGAAGAGACGGCTCAACGCTTGAACGCGAGCTGGGGCCGCCGGGGGGGCGGGATTCATCTCTACGTGTAAACTAAACGATCAAAGCGGCTCATTCGGACACAACGTCGTTGTCCATCGGATGTGCGGGAAGCCTCAAAACTCCCCGCTGGACTGGGACCAACGGAGGACGCCCGGCGACAGAGGAGCAGAACACTCGCTTCGACCCGAGGACGAGCAGACGTTCGCGTTCCAACAGACAACGCGCGCCTCGCCGGAAACGCACACTTACGTCCCATCCTCGTTGCTCCGATAGAAGACGAGGAAAGGGTCGGACTTGCCGAAGAAGTCCTTTTTGTCCAGCTTGTTGGCGCAGAGCTGCATGGTGGCGATGTCCTGCAGGACAACAACAGCTGACTGATGAGTTCACTTCTGTGTCCCAAAGCACACGGAATTAGTATGAAGTAGACTTCATTTAACTAACAGTGTAAAAAGTGCATTTAAAAGGATTCAGCAGCAATGATTGTGCCTGTAAAGACAAAGTGGAGTAATATCTCCCTGTGAGGAGGACGGAGTGACCTCTCTGTCACTGGTAATCAGTTTCTCTTTCTCTGTTAGCTTAGCCACGCATGCTTTTACTGGACGTCACTCATTTTGTGGGAACAAATCCGTGCTGCTCACCAATCAGCAGCAGCATTCATGTCACTGTGTGTGTTTGCATTTAGAAGTGAGGACTGTGGCACCACAGGAGCAGGTTGGTCTGTGTGTGTGTGTGTGTGTGTGTGTGTGTGTGTGTGTGTGTGTGAGCACATCTCTCTGCGTTTGGTGTCTTATTATTTACCAACCGGGGCAAGAAGAGCGAACCCTAGACTCGGTTAAATGATTCATGAGCGGCTCTCATCGTCGCTGTGAATGAAAAGCACATATTCACTTTCCCTCCGTTTGGTGGCCGCAAGAAAACGATTGTGTGTGCAGTCGGTTAAGCTCAGTTGGCGAACCTAAAGGTGGCAACACGGAAACTTGACCGTCGTGAAATCTGCCACACTTTCTGACCCGAGCGTCGGACTGCTTTCATCAGTGTGCGTTTGTGTTTATTCTGGTACGAACCCGGCAGTTGCTGAGCTCCTCGGCGGAGAAGAGGATGGTTCCACACTTCTTCCCTGGAATCCCACTGAGACAGAGAGAGACAGAGAGACAGACAGAGAGACAGAGAAAGACACAGAGAGAGATGTGCATAAGAGTAAATTAATTAAAACAACAACAAACCTTCAAAGTATGACGGAGTGAGTTTTAAAAAATGCTTCCAATATCCAACCCACACAAATCCACCCACTCAATGTAAATGATGCGAGATCCCACAATCAGATCGCAACCCTCCATCCGAAGCCGCTGACAGTTCATCCTGGTGATCGATCTCAGCAGTGACAGAAATGCTGACCCCGGATCAGATCCCCTCCACCGGCAACTGTCATCTGCTCGTGAGACACCAATCGTCTGCCTGATCGCGGCTCCGCTCCCGGCCCCCGTGTGTCCCTCAGGGGGGGATTTCACTTCTCACTTGGCGGCGAATCACAGGACCTTCTTGGTAATTGTATTGAAATTGGACCTGGGTTAGAGAAAGGAGGGTTGGACTGGAGCCCGGTCCTGTTTCCACACTCATGGATCCGCTCCAGGAACCTTTCACTTCTCCGTGGACACAACGAAGCTGGTAGTTTTAACACGTTCATCTAAATGGATCAACGTGTTAATCATTAAACCTGCTGAACATGTGTGACCCGTGTGTTCCCCGTGTGTGACCCGTGTGTTCCCCATGTGTGACCAGTGTGTTCCCCATGTGTGACCCGTGTGTTCCCCATGTGTGACCCCTGTGTGACCCGTGTGTGACCCAAGTGTTCCCCATGTGTGACCCGTGTGTTCCCCATGTGTGACCAGTGTGTTCCCCATGTGTGACCAGTGTGTTCCCCATGTGTGACCCAAGTGTTCCCCATGTGTGACCAGTGTGTTCCCCATGTGTGACCCGTGTGTTCCCCATGTGTGACCCAAGTGTTCCCCATGTGTGACCCGTGTGTTCCCCGTGTGTGACCCAAGTGTTCCCCATGTGTGACCAGTGTGTTCCCCATGTGTGACCCAAGTGTTCCCCATGTGTGACCAGTGTGTTCCCCATGTGTGACCAGTGTGTTCCCCATGTGTGACCCAAGTGTTCCCCATGTGTGACCAGTGTGTTCCCCATGTGTGACCAGTGTGTTCCCCATGTGTGACCAGTGTGTTCCCCATGTGTGACCAGTGTGTTCCCCGTGTGTGACCGACGCGCTCACAGGACGATTGTAAAAAAAACCCATTTCAGACTAATTTGGAGCTGAATTTGTAGAGATGGAGAACGTTTACCCCCCGTTTGGAAGTTGTTGGTGGCTGCGAGTCACACTCCGCCTCACAGCACTGACATTCGTTCCAGCCGCTCCGCGTCGGGCCATCGGCCCCGATGTGGCGCCGTGATTAAAACCACCGGCCCGAGGTTCAAAGACGCTGGAGACGTGCGCGGACACACCGCAGGCACGCGCACGTGATATCCATTACCGAGTAGCTTATTCCACACGCACAACATATTCTCCCCGAGACGCTGCTTCTGTAACCTTGAACCAGGCGCTCTGCCTCAAGTCGCTCTGCCGTGACGCCAGGTCGAGTGTGAAGAAGTAAAACAACTTCAGCTGAAACTAATTCATCTGTGCACTCCTGACTCCCCGTCACGTCGGGTCTCTCTTTAATCAATCTAAACAAGAACGCCAACAGTGATGTATGAGCGTCTGCAGGCTGCGACCTCTCCGATAATGACTTTAGCGTGGGGGGGGGGCATAGGGATACCTGCACACACACACACACTCACACCGCTCTCAGGGACCTATTCCCATTCCTGTCACAACTCTACTGCTAAAAGCTGCAGCTCCCTCGGACACACAGCAGGGCGGAGGAGTCGATGAAGAAGAAAATAACTCGATGAAGACGGAAGTCACCAAGGAGAACGCGTGCAGATGTGTCGAGTTCTTCAGCAGCAGTGTTTCCCACACATAACTTGTCCCTCCTCCCACACCTCTCACTGCCCACTCACGTTATACAAGCTCGCACCCACACGCACACACACCGCGGTTACACAACTCTTTAAGATGTACAAAACGAATCCAAACTCTTGCAACTAATCTAGTGGCGAACCAGAAGAAGACGTGTCGAGTGTCACAGTGGTTGTGTAGACAACCCTGTTTGTCAGACACACAACCGTTGCTCCCGCTGATGTAACTGCAGTGTGTGAATGCTGGTTGGTGCTCTATGTAGCTGCTGTCAGCCGCATATGAATGGGTGAATGATGATGACATGCAGCGTGAATGCGACCGTTCTATCTTCATCGGCTTCATCGGCTCGTTATTCGATCGTCCTCATCAGCCGACAGCCACACTCAGTGTGTTTACATGGTGGTATAATTGGAATCTTTGCTTAGTGGGACTGTGCTCTCTTTCGGGGGGAGGTGCTCTTATCCCCATATACACGGCAGTGAATAAATCCAATCATTGGCCGAAAGCATATCGTCATATCCGATACGATAGGTGGCGCTGTTTTCATTTCAACTAGTTGTGATACAGCCATTTCCGCTTGACCGCTTCACCACTACCAACAACAACCAACAACAACCAACAACAACATTAGGAGAAAGATGGTGAGCGGAGAGCGAGGTGAAGCTACGTCCCTCTACTATGTTTGCATGATGTCAATCGGAGTACAGCGAATGGCGCTATTGGCGCCAAATTGGCGGATCAAATGGCGCCGTCGGGATCTCAAGCACGCGCAAAGACGCAAAGTCCAGTTCTTCATCCGATTCACCGTTACATGCAGCAATAGTCGAACGATCAACCGGATCGGATGGAGTTATCCAGGGGTGTTAGTCGGATCGTCGTCGGACCGCACATAGTCGGACAAAGGTGTTTACGTGAAACGGATCATTCGATTTCAGTCCGACTGAGCCAGTTATAGGAATCCATGTAACCACGCTGTATACTTATAATATATAAGGTAAGCTCATTTAGCCACATGATGCCATAACAGACATTCATTCCACGGAAATGTCTTCAAGATGTATAATGTCAGAGAGATATTCATTTTTAGAGACTCAAAGAACAGAAGTCCTGTGGGAAATAAAGCACACATACAGTCTCCTTAATGTAGGTGTAAATCAGATCAGAAGGATTGTTCTATGAAGCAGAGAGACGGAGACGTCTCCCTGAGACGGGCTTCATACATCACGGCGGATCGTTAACAACGGCCATCTAATATTCACGAGCAAAGATTAAACATGACCTAAAATGCTACCAATGTGATATCGGTGCTGATTGCCCAGCGACTCTGGGCTTTCATCTAATAGAATGACGTTTATTTTTTTATGAGAGAGACTTTTAATGAAGATGACTTCAACACATCTTCCTTAACTGTTCTTTTTTCCTACAGGTTTTTAGGAAACATATTTTTCACTGAAAATGTTTGGAATATATAAGTTAATATATTCTTGATTTTACTATTCATCATATGTAAATCAGATGCATCATGTGAGTGGGAGTCCCCTGCTATTTTAACTTCAACCAGGTCATTTCCTGGGGGTTTTAATATAAATGTTGTTTTTGAAGGAAATCCAGGTCACGGCATCAGCATCACAATAATAAAGCTGATGAGCAACACGTGCACGACAACTTTAGCAGGCGAATGAGGTCAAAGCGACGGCAGATGGACGTAAAACATTTTCATTTGGCCAGGATGTCTGCCCATAAGATTCTTCATCATCATCATCATCATCATCATCCTGTGGAGGAATTCCTCTGCACAGTTCGGTTTGCAGGACAAAAGGTAAGCAAGAGGCAGCTTATCCTGCTCGGCTCTGCGCCACAGAGACGTGAACATGAATAGGATATGCAGGAGTACGTTTGCGTACACATACATGTGCACGCCGCTATGTGCAACAATCACATGTGTGTGCGTGTGTGTGTGTCCCTCAGTCAAAGTGCGTCTCCCCTCTGTGATCTCAACACGGGGAGGACGATGTTCACTTTGATTACAAGGCGGCGAATAGGGACTGACAGCATGAGCAGCTCATTCAATTACACAGCTCGCTGATGGAAAGCTTTCATGTTCTCCAGAGAGAACACAGGATGGAGGGATGGAGACATGTCAGCCACGAGGAAAGTATCATGCTGTCTTAAACGGAGCTGTTTGAACTGTTCTGGAGGGCGTTTGGCCAGTCCGAGTAACACAGCAGAGAAAACCATTAAAAAGCGGCGTGGAACAGGTTCAGTTACGTTTTTATAGAATCAAATGCAATATGTCAAACGGCAAAGAATGGAATGTGCAATTCAGTGAGTGATTCATCAGAGCTCTTCTCTGTGCGTGTGATAGTTTTTGGATGAGATGACATACAAAGGTAATGTGCTACTAGAATAACGATTCTATAGGTTTTGGGTTAGAAAAGTAAAAAAGTCGACCAAAGTCGACTCCTCATCTTAGTTCAAATATGTGGAACCTCACACAAACACCCCACAAACATTTGAAGGTTTGTTTAGTGTGTTAGTTGATTTATTGCTTCACCAGTAACATATATTTATATTTATATATGTGTGTTTACAGATCAGAACACTCCACTTTATCGTACAAATAAATTGACAAATATACAAATTAGCTCCACTTATTGCACTTTTTATCATGCGTGAGCCATTTTCAGAGGGCAAAAAATACCACGGCAAAAGGTTAAAATGTTTTCCTTGCGGTAACTAAAAACATGGTAAATGGGGAAGACACCGTGACACCGTCGGCATTGGTAGTTTTAGGTGAAGATTACCGACATTAAAATGAGGGCGGGTCATTGATTGTGGCGGGTCGGGAGTGGATGTTAATGTGGAGACTGGAGAGAAAGTGGCAGGAGGCCCAGTGCAGCTGCTCTTGAGGTAACACGATGGTAAAGTCGCAGTGGAGTAGTGAATATCGTCAGATAGCCTCCCTGACCCACTGCCAGTTGGGTGGACGCCATCGAGGTGGGCAGGCAGTTTCCAGAAAAAAAAAATGGAGATTATCAATAAAAATCCACGTTTGAGGCCGCGCACGTTGACTCGGCAAGTCGTTTACACCCCCGGGTGTCTCTGTGCA